CGTCACGGCCCGGGTTAAATGACATTCTCTGGGTGACGCAGTGGTTAGTGGCAGGAACCACACCTGTTCTCTGTCCCCCAAAGCCCCCTCCGGCCACCAGCCTTCCCGCAGCAGCTCTGCGCCTGGGCTCCACGCTGCCCCTTAACCACCCTCAGACCCCTGTCCCTTCTCTTCACTGCTCTCATCGGTCCCCTGCGGGGCCAGGATGAGGACAGACATGGCCTCGGGCTCTGCTCTGGGCTGTGTGAGTAGGTTGGACAAATGGCTTGGCTTATGGGAACCTCAGTTTCCCGGAGGGTGAAATGGGGGTGACAACTGCTTTGTGGGCGGTAAAGATTAGAGGTGATTTGGGGGGTGGCGCGTGCATTCCGGGGCCTGGCCAGTCATAGCCAGGCTTTTTTTTTTTTTTTAATGTTTTTTAAATGTTTTTGTGTGTGAGAGAGAGACAGAGACAGTGTGAGCAGACAGGGTCAGAGAGAGATTCAGAATTTGTAATAGGCTCAGGCTCTGAGCTAGCTGTCAGCACAGAGCCCGACGTGGGGCTCGAACCCAGGAATCAGTGAGATCATGACCTTAACCGAAGTCGGACACTTAACTGACTGAGCCACCCAGGCACCCCAAAGCCAGGCTTCTTGGGGTCACCCCCTTCCACTTGCCTTTCTTGCTTCCCCTCCAGCTTTATCTCTAGCCTTAAACTTCCACCTGCGTGGTACCCAACAGTGGTGTTCCACTGATCGAGCACCTCGCCCGTCTTGAGCACTCGCGCAGCCCCGGACAGGCCTGCGGGAGGAGCCCCATGGAAACAGGTGGGCGGCATGTACCCCACACAGGGTGGGCTTGGGGATGATGGGTTCCCAGAGGAGCCCACGCCCTCCGTCTCTCTTATCACGAAGCACTTCTACAAAGTCCTTTTTCTGCTTCCTCACTCACTGGACAATCCTCTGCTCTCTGCATTTCCCAGGGGGCTCCAATAAGGAGAGAAGATGGTCACAAAATCCCAGGGCCCTTAGCCCAGAGTGCTTGGACGTTCTGAGGACGAGGAGGCTTCCCCGCGGCTCCTCCTGCTCTCCCTCCCTCACCTGCCCAAGGCATTATTACCTATTCTTTCTCAATATAAATGCGAATTCAGTGACTAGGAGTCTCAGGTGCGTGGCTCCCACAAGTCTGTCCTCAAGGGGCATCTCTTCCCACTTGGCCTTCAGCATCAGGGTGGGAGCCCGGGTCCAAGGTCAATGTCAGATTCTCCTCTGTTTCGCTCTGCCTCACACACTATTTCCATTTGGTGCCACAGCAAGGAGACAACCCTACTGAAGCTCAGAGATGGCCCCAGATTGCAGACGTAGGTCACAAATGTCATCTGCACTGGGGTTCTTAGAATTCAAGGCGTCCAAAAACTTTGGTGGGGGAAGAAATGACATCTTTATTTTCATGAACCTCTAACTGAATTGGAGAAAGAACTCCAACTGAACGGAGAGCTTTGTCACCAGTTAAAAAAAAAAAAAGGTCACAGAGGCATCTGGCTGGCTCAGTCAATAGAGCCTGTGACTTAATCTTGGGGAGTTGTAAGTTGGATCCCCATGTTCAGTATAGAGATTACTTAAAACAATAAAACCTTTAGGAAACAAGACCACAGGAAAAAAGGCCACAGATATTCTCATATTACATTAATTATTGCAGATTTTTGAAAACACCGCTCATGCCCATCACGACTCTGAAATTGCAGCAGCTCTGAGATATGCAGGCTCATTATTTAATGCATTAAGTAGCACATATCACAAAATATTTTGATAATTGTGTCTCAGTCTAATTAGTCGCCTCTGTGATCCCAGGCCATGTGTTTTATTCATTTGAAAACCTCAGAAGAAACCCCACATTGCCAGCAGACTTCAGACACTGGGAGACCCAGAAGCCACCGTTCCTGAGGATCAAGGAACGTGGGGACCACACGGCTGCCCCCGCCTGTTTCTGGGACCCTTGCAGGGACAGCGAATGAGGTGGGTGCTGTGGCTGCCCTCCCTCGGTCCTCTTGGCAGAACCCACTTCCGTGACTTGAGGACGGTGGCCCTGGCTGACTATGCACCGGAGTGCCCAGTTCTGCAGGGGTGGGGTGGGGTGAGGTGCCACTGGGAAGGATGGGTCTTCTCCTAGGAGAGGGAGGAAGGAAAAGAGAAGGGAGAAAGGAAGGGAAGCAGGACAGAGAAGAAAGGAGGAAGGAAGGGGGAGGGTGGAAAAAGAGAGAGTGAGGGAAGGAAAGAAGGGGAGAAAGACAGGAGAGCGAGCCTGGGCAGGAGGGGGGAGGCAGGCAGTCAGGCAGAAAGCAGTTTGTTTTGTTCACGACAATGTCACGCCCCAGGATTGACCTGGAACCCTGTCACCTTTGGATTTCTTGTTATACAAGATAATAAATATCTCTTTTAATCTAAACTGCATGGAACTAGGATTTCTCTCTCACGGAGAACCTTCTGCCATTCAAGAGCATTGCGGCAGCTCATTTCTGATAGTCCCCCGGCGCGCCCGCATAGGCCACTCCAAGTTCGCACATCTTGGCCCTCATGTGGCGACCAGTGGCTCACACAGCAGTGAGCAGGCCAGCGCCCTTTTGAGACTCCGTCTTTATTCTCATAACTGTGTTCGAGGTCTGGTTCCAAGTCTGACTACCCCGTGGGTTATGGGGTGAGGAGCACAGTAGTCTTTTGTGCAGCCCTTTCCCAGCAGGGCCCGGGCCCCCAGGTGCTCAGGCAGGAGCCGACACGCCAATCTTTCTCATGACTCCTTTGAGACCCTACCACTTTTTGGATATGACGTATGTCATTTGCAGGCACACCTAATACAAAAAAATTCAAATACCTATACACTGTATTATTGGTAAATTAATTAGGAATATTAGTAAATTGGCTTAGGGAGAGAATTTTCTTTCTTTCTTTCACGTAAGTCCACAGACAGAAGAGAGCATAAGAAATTTTATTTTGCTGGCTGAATATTTTCTGTTTATTTATTTTTGAGAGAGTGCAAGTGGGGAAGGGGCAGAGAAAGAGAGGGGGACAGAGGATCTGAAGCGGGCCCCACACAGACAGCAGAGAGCCTGATGGGGGGCTCGAGCCCACAAACTTCGAGGTCATGACCTGAGCAGAAGTCAACAGAGTGAGCCACCCAGGTGTTCCCTGGTGGAATATATGTGTGTGACAGGTACTGCAGAATCAAGTACTTAAGTCACATACTTGATTATAAAAAATGTCGCAGAGCAGGTTCTCTTGCTCTAGTCCAGAGCTCATAGAGCTCCCCTCCCCCTGGATCAGCCCAAACTCTTTCCAGAGCATTCTGAGCCCACACGTGATTCGACTACCTGATCTCGGTCTCTGCAACGACCCCACTCAGAGGCTGCAAAGCACACTGTCCTCTTCTTGGCACTGAGCGTTCCCCCACCTCCTAAGTCTTGGGGGCTATCGGGACAACATAGGGTTTCTCAACAAATAATGAAGAAACTTTTCCCTGATGCCGAAGCAGGACCCCCCGCAACCCCACCATTCCTAAAGTACTATGAGGGATGCTGCACAATTATGCCAAGAGCTCTTTTTAAAAGATGGCAGAAGAACCAAGGTTTTGGTTGTCTCAAATAAGGGAGAAAGAAGATGCAGAAATGTGATTTCTGGAACATTAAAAATAAAACCTCATCCATCCAGCCCTTTTTAGTGCCCCCGCCCCCAAATCTCAATCCAAATTGCTAAATAAAAAATCTGATTTTTAAAATCAGTGTTTTCTTGACATGCCGGTGGGGTTTTCAAAGGTAGGTATTCCATTTTATTAAAAAAATTTTTTTTAATGTTTATTTAATACATATTTATTTATTTTTGAGAGATATACAGAGCATGAGTGGGGGAAGGGGCAGACAGAGAGGTAGACACAGAATCCGAAGGAGGCTCCAGGCTCTGAGCTGTCAGCAACAAAGTCTGACACGGGGCTCGAACCCACAAACTGTGAGATCATGACCTGAGCGGAAGTTGGACGCTTAACTGACTGAGCCACCCAGGCGCCCCTTTATGTTTATTTTTGAAGAGTGAGAGAATGAGCAGGGGAAGGCAGAGCAAGGGTGAGACACAAACACCAAAGCAGACTCCATGCTCTGAGCTGTCAGCACAGAGCCCGACATGGGGCTCGAACCCATGAGTCATGAGATAATGACCTGAGCTGAAGTTGAATGCTTTACTGGCCGAGCCCCTCAGCCCCCCGGAGGTATGTTAAAAGGCAGAAGGGGGGTGCGCCTGGGTGGCTCAGTCCGTTGAGCATCCGACTTCAGCTCAGGTCATGATCTCACAGCTCATGAGTTCAAGCCCCATGTCGGGCTCACAGCTTGGGCAGTGCAGAGCCCGCTTCAGATCTTCTGTCCCCCTCTCTCTCCCACCCCTGCTTGCACTCTCTCAAAAACAAACAAACAAACAAACAAACAAACGGCAGAAGGGGAAGGACCTCAGCCAGCCCGGATGGCACTGGAGAGCCCCAGGAAAATGATAAGCAGGTGTACGTATTTAAAACATTATAGAAGCCATGAAAATATTTGCCCCCTGCCCCCACCCTGGTTTGGCATGAAGGCTCTAAGTACCCAGGGCGGACTCCAGGTGAGTCCTTTGAGGTGGCATGACCTTGAGCAGGTCATAGCCCCTGACCTGGAGGAGGTTAAGGGCTCCCAACAGCAGCCTCTCGGACCGGCTATAAAAGGCAGCCCATCACACTGTGTCACAGGTTACCGTGGGTGATGAGACTGTCTTCCAGGGTGGGGCTCAGGGCCCCTCCAGTCAGGAACACTCCACAAATGATCACGGTTATTATCACAAATAAGAAGAAACCCCGTGAGGGCGTAGCAGTAAAACGTGAATGCTTTTTAAAAGTGTGACAAGAAACAGTCCCAGAGCAGAGTCTCCAAGGCAGACCGACCATCTTCCCGGTCCTCAAACCCTGGTCCCGTCCATCCTCTACAGCCCGAGAATGACTTTAGCCACCAGTGCTGAGCATTATCTATAAAGTATCTTCTCTTTATTTAAGTTAAACAATTTTCGAGGATGGTTTCCATCTATAAAATGGACAAAGTACAAGCTCTGTACAGCAGTTCTTTTTAAAAATCAACTGGAAAAAAAATTACCAAACTATACTTTGAATTTGCAAAACATACTCACAGATACCATCGTTTTAGCGTTTATGAGGACGTAGGAAAGACCACCACAGAGAGGACGACTACCTTCGCCACGCTTTGCTCGAAGGGCTCTTAGGAAAGACTCTGTACTTGTAAAAACGGGAGAGGGTGGGATCATCCCGATGACTACAAAATAACGCAACCACAGTAAGTCACTTTGGCACACTGTGTCATGTAAACATAGCTCACCTCGAGGGAGCCCTCCCAGCCGCCCCTGCTGCGACGCCCGCCCGGTCGGAGGCCGCTGTCCCCCCGCCGGTGCAGGGGTGGGGAGCGGCCCTTTCAGGGGCCGGGTGGGCCCGACCCGATGGTACGAGGTTGGTGAGAGTTCGGGTGGGGGTGGGGGCGTGGGAGCGAAGGACGCGCCAAGAACCTGATTACAATTTTACATCAAAGCCAAATTGGTTTTCTAGCAGTGGGGGGTTTCTTCCTAACACGGGGACCGCAAGCAGGTGACACAGGGCCTGAAGATGCAAGCCAGGCGCCCGGGCGACGGCCGGGACTGGGTCCTGGCCCGCCTGGTCCCACTGCCTCGCGCGGGCCTGGGGCACCGTCCCCAGGGGCCTCCCGGAGTCAGGACCAGGCTGTGAAGACACGGGTGTGCCGGGGGAGGCCAGCTACGGGCGCCCGGTCCTGAAAGCACATGTGCGAGCTTGGCAGGCGGCAGGAAGGCGCAGGACGGTCACCCCCTAGGTCCGGCCCCAGTGTCCCGGCGCACACACGAGAGTGGAAAACAGACCACCCCGGTGCCCTTTCCTGAAGAACAGGCAGGGGACAGAGGGGCACTCTGCGGGGCGTCAACCCGGCGCCTGGTGCCGAGGCCGCTGCTCACCCTGCCCTCCCAGTCTCTCCCTGAAAGGGGCCTGAGGGCGTGCAGGTCTGAGGCGCACCCCTCCCCCACCGCGTGGGAGCCTGTGGGCGGCCCGGGTGGCCTCTCTGGGGCCTGGGTGTGGGCAGCTGGCCGGGTGGGGAGGCGGAGGGAGGAGGTGGCCGCGAGAGATGACCAAGGAGCCACTCTGTCACCGCGTGCAGGGCCTCTGGCCGGCCTCGCCAGCTCGCCCAGACTCTGCCAAGGAGACAGCTTCCTGCCGTCACCTACTGAGGACCGCGGGGGTGGGGGGTTTGTTTTGTGTTATTTTTCCCTAAGAGAAAAGAAATTGAATTTAAAAAGACCGAAAGAAACGTCTGCTAAAACAAGCAACCCATCCAGGTTTACAGATACGGAGGGCACAAGGTGTGGATTCCGACCCTTGGCGGGGACTCCCGAGCTGAAGCCACGCGCGTGCGCGCGCCCCCCGAGGACGCTCCGGGGACACCGGGGACCCCTGCACGCCTGCCGGAGAGCCCGCCCTCCTCCTTCCGGCCGCGGGCTGCTCTGTGGAGAACTGACGGGATGAGAACGACCTACAGAAACCATAGGGAACTGACCGTACATTCCTTCCTTCTATATACTTGTATTCAGTGTCCCCCGCGGAGAAGTTCTTACTCACATACAGCACGTGTGGAGGCGGGGGCTGCGCTGGGGGACAGCCGGAGCGGAGGGGCGGGGACAGGGCCACGCGACGTACGCCTGCTAGGGCGACACGCTTCGCTGCTGTGGAAACCAGACGCGATTCCGACGGGATGAAAGATGGAGATTTCCAAAGAGTTCTCCTCGTGGGGACGTAGCAACGACACCGCCGCCCCCTCCCTGCCCCCCACTTCGTACGCGTCAGGGCCGCTTCTCCGCCGTCCCTGGGTTGGGGGAGGGGGGTGGGGAAGGGGGCCCGGCTTTCTCCCGCGACGGGGGCAGCGCGGCTGCTCTTTCCTGGCCTCTTCCGTGTCCAGCCGGGCCCCGTGCCTCACAGTTCTCCAACTTTCAGACCATGATGGAATACTGAGGTATATAGTTTCGCGGAAAGTTCAAGAAACATAATCAATAATGTGATCGCCAGACTCGGCCGAGCGGTGCAGGGGGGAGGCGGGCGCGGCCTCCTACTGCTGCAGGTTGAGCGTGAACTTCCACTGCTGGGACAGCGCCGGGCCGCACACCTCCACGCTCAGGCCCCCCGTCTTGGCCGCGCGGCTGTCCAGGCACAGGTTGCTGCCCACGTGTCGCAGCTTGGAGTTGCCCTCGATCTGCTCCCATTTCTGCGGAAGACAGAGGTTGTCTTAGGGTCAGGGCGCGGCCGGGAGGGGACGAAGCAGGCCCATTGCGGGGCTTTCTGGCCACGTTAAAAACCAAAAAACCAAGTATTTTGGGGGGGGGGTCTTTGATCATAATGGGTGGGAGTTACCAATGGGCCCACCACCAAGCAGCCCCAGGTGCTGCGAAGAAGCATCGGGAAGAAACCTTACGCTCTCTGCCTCAGAGAGTCTGCAACTCAAAGCCTCCTTTCCCGGCTGCTGGGGCCGCTTCTCCTGTCCCACCCCTCCCTCCTGTGGCTGTGCCCTCCTCCAAGGACCAGTGCCCCCCACACCCACCATCCTCAGTCATTAACCCAAGGACTTGAGGTAGGAACTTTCCCGGAAGGGAATTTGCTTTCATCCACAAGAAGGCCTCACGCGACGGTATTTCACCTCAAGGAAGGAGCCCCAGGAAGCTGAGCCAGCTCAAAGGGGACCCAATTCTGCCCCTGGTTATTGGAGGCAGCCCTGCCTGGAGGGCGTGGCCTGGGCACCTGCAGGCATTCACCAAGGGCCTTAGGCTCGGCTGAACCAGAAGCACAGTGTCAGGTCAAGTGACAGGGAAAGAGATGCTTGAGTGGCCAGAATATCATGTTGAGGAACCGTTTCTATACTGTCTGCTTTCTCTACTAGTCTGTGGGCTCCTGGGTGTGTGTGTGTGTGTGTGTGTATGTGTGTGTGTGAGAGAGAGAGAAAGAGAGAGAGACTTGTCCCAGCCACCCCAGAGTCCCCCAGTGCTCCAAATGAACCCTGCTGAGTTCCAAACGGGGCGCTTGCAAAGCAGAGGGCAGAGCATCTTTACATTCAAGTGTGTGCACCCTCCCCCCACCAAAACCAAACTCCGGCAACCAACCCATCAACCTTGACCATCCAGTTAACCAAACTCAATGGGCCAGCCAACCAACTTACCCAGCAATCAACTAATCAACCAACCCACCAACCAAGTCAGGAGGCAAAGCCCGCAGCCTCAAGGAAGGAAATCTGAGCCCCCTCCCCCTGTTGTTTACCCCCACGTAAACATCTTTAATGTTTGGGGTGCCTGGGGTGGCTCAGTCGGTTAAGCGTCGGACTTGCTCAGGTCATGATCTCACGGTTCATGGGTTGGAGCCCTGCATCGGGCTCTGTGCTGACACTGCATCGGGCTCTGTGCTGACAGCTAGCTCAGAGCCTGGAGCCTGCTTCGGATTCCATATCTCCCTCTCTCTCTGACCCTTCCCTGCTCACAGTCTCTCTCTCTCTCTCTCAGAAAAAAAAAAATCTCTAATGTTTGTTCTTAAAAAAAAGAAAAAAAATGATCACACTTTTTTCTCCCCAAAGCTCTCCCTTCATTAACATAGTCTGTGATTCTAATTAATTTTTTACACTCTGTGCACTAAAGCTCCTTTCCGTAAGTATTTTTGCAAATCCTTTTGACACCGTGGAATTGGATTTTCTTCCTCCTGCCTCCCTTTCCCCTCTGACTCTGCAAATGCACACGCAGCATGAACACACAGACGTGCCCGGAAACCTAAAGGTCCAACTGGCAGCACAGTGCAGCTTCAAGATAAAATTAGTCGAGGAGCCTCCTCGAAAATGGCAAATGAACGAGGTGGGGAAGGCAGCAGTGGTGGCAGAGAGGAGCCCAGCTCCCTGAGAAGCGACCTTCTGCGTGAGGACCCCGGGAGACGCATTCACGCGGCCTGCTAACCTGGAGTTTTTACCAATAGTGAAATTCAGCGCAATGAGATGAACATGGGGGAGTTCACAGCTACCTGCCTATCATCTCCTCCTTTCTGGCTCCCCAGCTGTCAGTCATTCCTCACGCAGGTTTCTTCCATTGTCATGTAAAGTGTGTATGCCCTGCTAGCCGCCCCTCCCCCCCACTGTCACTCTGAGTGGCCAGGAATCAGGCTTGACAAAGGACACGGAATGAATGGAATCTGATTTCCTTCTCTGGAGGGGCTCTGCCTGTCATGTGTCAAAACATCAGCTACATGGAAGGGCTTTAAAAAAAAAAATAACCCAATCCCAGCCCTGTCTCTGGAAGGCAGCACCCTCAGCCCACGCTCATGGGTGAGATTTCTGGGATCCCGAGACTCTCCTGCAATGGCCCCCAAGCTTCCACATGCTGCAGGAATTTTCTGTCTCTGGGTGAGAGCCTCTCAGGGGGTCGGCTATGTTTCCTAAGATCCGGGATTGTAGCGCAATCACCTGTCAGCTCTTGAAGTAAGACAAGCTCGTACTGAAGTGACTCCTCTAGACATGAAACATCTGTTTTTTTTTTTAAGGTTTGGAGACCAGATACAGTCATCACTATCCCTTCTTTGTGCCTCCACAGATGTCCCTGCCCCATAACGCCCCATGGGTAGTGCTACGGAGCAGGGGGATCAGGGAGTCCTGGGTGCATTGACGCCCACCCAGCACAGCTGCAGGTGGTCTGGGTCCAGGGGACAGGGGCCTCCTCGTTGGGCGGTCCACTCTCCCGGACTAGGGGTACCGGGTCCTCTTGAAACCGCCGGACACAGACGAACATGTGAGGACGGCAGACCGTGGGCAGAGAGCTGTGCAGGGGAGGCGCCTGCTGCTACACCAGGGGTTCCGCAGAGCAGAGGACACGGGGACACCCATCCCTCAGGCCAGCGTTTCCCTGACAGCAGGGATCTAAGCGAGGGGCCTGATTTGGCCTCGGTGCCCCCAGGGCACGCCAGAGCCGCAGCCTCCTCTTCTGTGAAACCAGTGTTGAACTGGATGCCCGCTCAGGCTCCTGGCTCTGTGCCTCAGTCTCCCTACACCCCTCCATCTGAGAAGAAGGGAGTGTACGAAGACAAGCCAGTGCTCCTCACGTTGGCGCACCAGAAGGTCTATTTCCGACGCTAGCCGTTACCCCATGGCCCAGGAAAGGACATGTCTCCAATTTAGCCCTGGGGGGTATGTCAGGGAACACCAGCTCAACAGGCGACAAGATTCTGAACTGTTTGGAAAAGGTAACACACGTACATATAAACTCGAGAGAGTGTATAAGGCTTCCTCCACTTGAGCTTACTCATTTAGCATGTTCGTAAATTTAAAAAGATAGTTAACGAGTAAGAACCTACGTTTTCTTTAAAATACCCAGTGGCAGGGAGAGAATGTGAGTATCATCAAGAAATCGGCAATGTCAGACCATTTCTATTTCTTAAGAAACAGCTGCCTGTGTGGGTCTGTCCTTCGGGGTGGTGGGCTTCCCAACACACCAGAATCAAATCAACACCTCCCTTGGGTGATGATGTTAGGAGCCTCGCTTCCTTTCCCAGCACTTCTTTGTAGGAGTAGCTTCTCAGGGGGTTCTGAGCCTAGGCCACGCTGTCTGCGTGCATGCCACCCCTGCACACCTGGCTGTCGAGACACGGAGGACACAGGGGGAGCCGGGCCGAGGGGCCACCGGAAGCCTACCTGTCGGCTGTCGTTTTCCCGGCAGCCCTGCAGCTTTATGACAGAGCCGGGCGTCCGGTCCACCACCGTCAGGCACAGATCCATGTGCTTCACTGACTTCTCCTTCGTCAAGGCCCATTCCTGGAAGGTAAAACTGCAGGTCAGGGGTGCGCCACGCGCAGGCCTGTGGGGTGACGGGGCCTCTCAAGGGTAACGGTCATGCTGTGGAGCTGAGATCGGAGCCCCCGGGCCATCTCAGGGCCCACACACGACTTTCTGCCTAGGGACAGGTCTACAGCTGGGGAGGTCTGGGTCGGGGTGGGGGGAGCGCCTCCCAGAACAGCACTGAGAGTTTTGCAGACAGACCTGGCAGAGACCTCAAGTAACTAAGATAAACAGTATTAACTCTTTAGCCCCAGGCACAAATCAGAGCACCGCCCTCATTTTTCTACCATTAAATGTGAGCTGGAAACACAGCAGTTCACGTGTGGTTCCCACAAGATGGGCAGTGGAGGACCAACTTTTCCACCCAAGTGATTTTGGGAAGACTGCTCCCCCTGCAGGTGTGGTCTGGAAACAGCCTTTAGGAACGTGGATTGTAATGTGTGAAAATGATAAATTACGTAGGGCCTGTTTAAGCAAAACACACAGCGTGTAGCCTCACTACTGAGCTATGGGTTGATTTGCTGATGCTCACGAAGGTCCAAGATCCCTCCGGCTGGGCCTATGTGTTTATACATGCACATACATCTCACAGCTAACACCAGGTGCCTACTGTGTGCTGGGTACCACGGTAAGCCCTCATACAGCAGCCCCATGAGAAGGTATTATTACCCCCATTTTACAAATGAGAAAACTGAGCCACTCCTTTTTTCCCCCTAGACAGTGGGAGAAAGAGGTGCTAAAATAACTTGCTAATAACTTTTACAAATAGAAATACCCCCCCACCCCACCCCCCCACACACAGCATGCGCACACACACAGCACAACTAGTTATTCTGAGTACTCAATAAGACTGTTGGAAAGGGCAGGAAGCCAGATAATGGAGAAGATGGGTGAGTGGCCACGGGCAGAAGGTTCCGGGCAGGGCCGCAGATGGGACAGGTGGAGTGGCTTCTGACCTTTACTCTAGGCCCAGACCCTTTCAAAGGGATAAACACCCAAATGAGCGCTCAGAATCCAGAAGCACAAGGCGTCTTCCACCAGGGCACCCCACCCATGGTGTCCATTTCTGCTACATGCCCAGGAAAGCTGTCACCACGCGGCCATCCTTGCGGTGACCCCCCTGGGCCCTGCGAGGACTAAGGTGCTCTCACAGGGCTGGGCCCACGGCCGGTGAACGGCCAGGCCAGGCCCTGACCTCATGGAGCTGGCTCTCCAGCAAGGAGAATGGGTAACACACGAATAAATGTATTATGTACACTTAGGTGCTATTAAGTGCTTTGAAGAAATTATTTTCCTTTTTTTCTGTTCTAAGAAACAGAAAGAGGGAGGGGACAGAGGTAAGAGAAAGAGAGAGACAGAGAGACAGAGAGAGAGAGAGAGAGAGAGAAAATACCAAGCAGGCTCCATGCTATAAGTGCAGAGTCTAATGTGGGGCTCAAACTCACAAACCATGAGATCATGCCCTAAGCCAAAGTCGAGTCAGATGCTTCACTGAGCCACTCGGGCTCCCCAGGAATAAATTATCTTAAAGAAAAGCCTCACTATTTAATACCTAGGCCACCTTGGGACAAATGGTGGGCCCTAGACAGGAAGCCCATGTAGGGACTGGAAAAGCCCAGTGGCCTGTTCTCGACCTTCCTCACTCCTAACAGGGAGGCTGACTCGGGCCAGTGCCCTCATTGCCCTCGGCTTCAATGTTCTCACCTTTTAATTAGTTTCTCAAAGTGCTCCATGAGGAATTCTATGAGATTAGTTCTAGGAAGGTCAAATAAATTTGGGAACCAGAGGAATTTGGGCCATGTTTCCATTTGCAAATTCAAGAATAAGTCTCTTAAAGGCTCTGAAAGTCCGAGAATAGAAACAACTGCTTGGGCTGTTTTCCTTTGCGTCTGTCAAACTCAGGAGCTCGGAGCTCTGTCCTCACCGGTCCCCACCAGCGGCTCTTGGCAGAGGGCTCTACAGAGCGTTCTCTGCGAAGGGGCACGCGCTGCCCGAGGGGCGACCTCAACCTTGCACAATGCCATCAGTTGACAGTCGGTGCTTCTCAACTGCCAATAGGCGCTCAACGTCACCAGCACTGAGGGCGTCACTCAGGGCAAAAAGGCCCTGAGAAGGGGTGCGTGCACACGGTCTTTCATCACGTCTCCCAAGAGGCTCGTGTGAAACCATGGCACCAAGGGACCCCCGCTCGTGGCGAAGATTTTCGATGGTTCGTGGAAGCAGGTGTCGAAAGACGTCGGAAGGGCTGCAGATGCCCAGCTGAAGCCATTGTGCGCTTAATTATTTTAAAGCCGGCTTTACACCGAGTTCCAGAAAAACTAAGTCAGCTGTGCAAACAGCACAGCTAGTTGCCACTTTGTTCTTCTGTTGCATTTTAATGATCTGAATTTGTCAAATAAAGTTCATAAATATTTAAGAAACACTGTTTTGAGCTGCTGCTCTTAAAAAAGCAACGGCCATTAATTTTCCCATTTCCTGTGTGTCTGTCGGGCTCGGCCAGAAGCCAGATAACAAACCTTACTCTTCTAGAGCGCGGGACCCTATTTTCAGTTAGGAAATGGGAGTTACCCTCTCAGTTTTCACCCACATGGCACACTCCTCAAAAAAGCATCACTTTCTGTCGGATCAGATGGGCCTTACTCATGGCAGGTTCACGAGTTGGGTTCTCTGTAAGTGGCAAGCGTGAACTCTGCCTTCCAGAACCACAATTCCCAATATGGTGGCCGCTATCTGCCTTGATTTAAGTGAAAAATTTCTTTAATCTTTTATTTTTGAGAGAGAGAGGGAGACAGAGTACAAGTGGGGGAGGGGCAGAGGGGGGGAGAGAGAGAGAGAGAGAGAGAGAGAGAGAGAGAGACATAGAATCCAAAGCAGGCTCCAGGCTCTGAGCTGTCAGCACAGAGCCCGATGCAGGGCTTGAACTCATTAACGGTGAGATCATGACCTGAGCCAGAGTCGGAAGCTGAGCCACCCAGGTGCCCCCTCTTTGGTTCAGTTCAACAGAACAAACACCTCCCACCCTTGGTCACACTAGCTATGTTCTGAGTGCTCTGTAGCCACAATGAACGGGGAGAACCACTGGACAGGGTGGGCCTCGCACACTGTCCTCACATAGAGCACGGATGGACGGTGCCGATCTAGAAGGCAGCTCTCTGGGCCTCGTCCACGGAGGAAGGTGCTCCCAGGTGTGTGGGTGAAAGTATACCAAGTCATAGTACTTCCTCATGGTCCCTCAGTGATGTGGCCTCTCCTTCGAGGGAACTCTCACTGCGACGCTGCTCATGTAGAATCACCTACCTCGGGGGCTTTCAAAACCCCTGATGCTCTGTGACCCGCACCCCCCCCGGCCCCCCCGAGTCTATTTAAACCCCAGGCTTTCTGGGTGTGGCACTTGGCATCCGTCTGTCTTCAAAGCTCTCAGGAAGGTTCCAGCACTGATCCTAGCAGGAAGAGTGCTCAGAGAGAGTGGAAACCTGCTTCCTGGAGAGACAGGGCTGGGTCCTCCTGTCTCTGACCTGAGGGGGCACACATGGCACAGCAGGTCCCCGGCAACTATGTGCTGCAAGGGAGGGAATGTCACCCCACGCGAGAACAGCCATGGCCTCACACCAGCAAAGAGGAAAGAAGAGTGGGAACGGAGTGTTCCGCACAGGCCGCCATGTCTGTTCGTCACGACAACCGCAGGCTCTGGGACAGGCCAAGGTCTGGGCTGGGCCACAGCAAGGTCGCCTGTGTACAGAGCTGGGAGCAGCTGCCTCTGGTTGGCCTCCTCCACTGTCCCAATCTACTTCTTCCCCCTAAGATGGTGCCTCGTGAGCAGCTCGTCCTCAGTGAGCTACAGTGCCTATAAATAAGGGGACTATAACCAGGACACCTCTGAGACTAAGGGGGGTGCTATGAAACATTTCGGGGGGGGGGCAACAGGTGTAAATGGGTGATGTACCGGGCAGGCCAGAGGGGTGCTTTTGGGCTGAGAGACCAATCTGCAGGCAGGATCTGGGGACCCAGAGCCACGGCCACCAGCCATCGCTGGTGGGGGTGATCACACAGGCCACGGCAGCTTTTGTTACCAGCTGTGGGGTAAGAGGTGCCATCCACCCCCTGAGATATGGGTGGGTGAGAGCCAAGCACAGAGCCCAGGACAGAAGCTGGTGCCTGAGATGCGGAGGGCAGGGTGGGGGGCAACGGGAAACCCTTCACTGACAGCCCGCACACTTACTTTTAAACTGTCCCACAGAGGGGTGCCTGGCTGGCTCAGTTGGCTCAGGTCACAATCTCCAGTTCATGAGTTCAAGCCCCATGTCAGGCTCTGCGCTGACAGTGCAGAGCCTGCTTGGGATTCTTTCTCCCTCTCTCTGCCTCTCCTCAGATCATGCTCTCTTTCTCTTTCTCTCAAAATACAGGGGCACCTGGGTGGCTCTGTTGGTTAAGCATCTGACTTTGGCTCAGGTCATGATCTTACTGCTTGTGGGTTCAAGCCCCGTGTTGGGCTCTGTGCTGACAGCTCAGAGCCTGGAGCCTGCTTCGGATTCTGTGTCTCCCTCTCTTTCTACCCCTCTCCTGCTTGTACGTGTGCTCTCTCTCAAATACAAATAAAAACATTAAAAAATTAAAAATAAAGAAACATTAAGAAAAATGACTTTGAGATGCTCTGCAGAGTAAGACTTCTCATTGCCCAGCAGAGCTGCTAAAATATAAAGGACTGAGCCCTTTAACTTTCATGGGACCATCTGAATGTCGCAAATGTGACAGAGGGGAACTCCGGTAATGAAATGGGGGGAGGGTGAAGCCAAGGTAGAATTACACAAAGTCTAACAACAGAGATGGTAACTCATCTGGGCTCACACCCCCTCTGTTGTGTGCCGCGCAGGCCCCGCTCCACAGGCATGAGCCACGCAGCTGTTACTGCCGTGCCAACAGACCTGCACTGCCTTTCTAAGATTAGCCTTAGCTTCTGGAGAATCAGTCAGACCTGCGCCAGAACAAGAGTGACAGCCATGCCACACGCCCTGTGTCACCACCCATTATGTGAGGCCGAGTATGTCATGGAGGCAGCGCAGTCCCCAGGAGGAAGTGGGGCCACATTTATTTTCAGTGCCTCAGACGGAAAGGCGGGAACAGTGCCTCCCCCTCCCCCGCTCCTGTCCCCAACCAACAAACTGCCTGGCCTGTGGCCTTCCTCCTCCTCTCCTTCTTCCTTCCCTCTTCACGGATCCTCCTTCCAGCCGACTTCTCACATTTGTGGGGCCCGGGAAAGAGTACAAATGGGGACCCACACCTCATGGGCTCGACTACTTGAAATCCATAAATCCAGCTGCACCCAAAGCTCACAGCCTGTCCCTGGGAAGTCCCCCAGGGACCAGAGGATGGGTTCTGGGAACAGAAGGGAGACCCTGGGAGCCTGGGTGGGGGTGGGGGTGGCATTCACGTGCTGGGCCGCGCTGCCTGCCGCCCGAAGCTGGTTCCCCCTCCCTTGTCTGATTGAGGGGATCCAGATGGTTCTGAGCATCTTCTAAGCCACCATCACCAAGTGGGGAGAGGAGGCAGAGCGCTCGGGGATCACGGTCTGCGTAGAGGCTCCCCGGGGGGCGCTGGAGCCTCCAACTTTACATGGGAGCAGGCACCGGCTTCTAAAAATAATTCTTCTTAAAAAAGGTTCTGGGATGAATACATCTGGTATACACGGAGTTAAGCTGCCTCTGACCCCCACCTCACCCCGTTTATAAACTGCTGGCCCTGAGAGCCTGGCATGTTTTCAAGGAGATGAGAGCACTGAGCATCACCCAACCTTTTCTGTGTGCAAAGCCCGCAGTTCACCAAACACCTATTATTATCTCACGAGAAAACTGCTCTCTAGAGCGCCGTCTTCTGGAACACTCAGACCTGGTTAGGCCCATCGAGCCTTCTTGGTCTCATTGTCAGTGACGGTAGAAGGAGGTGGGGTTTTACGTTTCCTGGAAAAGCTGTGTGTGTATATGTGTGTGCGCGCGCATGCGCGTGCGTGTCTGTGTGTGCGTGTGCATATGTGCGCGCGCGTGTGTGTGTCCGTGTGTGTGTGAGACCCAAGTTAGTAATCATTACTGTTTCTGGCTAAGCCACTGCTGTCTAACAGGCTGGGGACCCGTAATGACATTGGCGGCAGCTGCGGGGACCGTGGGTAAGTACCTGCTTCACTGGGGCGCAGGGAGGTGCTGATAGGCGCATGCAGGGCCTGGACATGGATGTGGACACAGAACAGGTGCTCTGGGTGTGAGCACATCACGGGGAGGACAGAGGAGGCAGGAAGAGGAGGGGGAGGGGGAGGAGAAGAAAGGGAGGAGGAGGAGGGGAGGAGAGGGAGGAGGGGGAGGAGAAGAGGGGGAGGAGGAGGAGGGGAGGAGAGGGAGGAGGGGGAGGAGGGGGAGGAGGGCGAGGCGGAGGAGGGGGAGGAGGAGGAGGAGACTAACCCCGGCCCAAGCCTGCACGAAGGCCCCAGGCCTCTCCCCGGGACGCCCCCCGGGACCTGGTGGCCGCCGGCCCGCACGTGACCAGCAGGAGGCAGGAGCCCCTCACAGACGTCTTGGGCCCAGGAGAAGCACCCCTAGGACGTGGGGTCTGGCCCCCCCCCGTCCCCGGGTCTCCGGGCGCTGAAGCTCCGCCTGCGCACGTACCTGGTTGCCCCCCGCATTGTGGCACTCGTAGACTCCCACGACGCCGTCAGCGAAATGTCCCAAGGTGTCCAGGCAGTTGGTCCCCTGCTGCAGGGCCCCAAAGGCTATGTCCTGGTGGTCAGGCACCCTGGGAGCAACAGGAGAATCGTCAGCAGGACTCCGCAGGACCCCTGGCTCCCGCCACCCACCCCTCTGCTCGGGGACTTCATCCCACGCAGCGGGAACCACGAGGGAGGGCCTCTTGTAGCCCGTGTCCCCTGCCCACGGCGGGCGGTGTCCCTGAGGAGCATGTCCCCATGTCCTGGATTTCTAGCCCGGACTGAAGATCACGCGGAGGAGCATTCTTTCTATTCCGTATCAGGAAAATGTTTCTGGAAAGGAAAAACTCCTGTATCCTTCAGGGTTTGTCTGCTGGAAGCTCCTTAGGAAAGCAATGAATGAGGGGCGCCTGGGGGCGCAGTCAGTTGGGTGTCCGACTTCGGCTCAAGTCATGATCTCGTGGTTTGTGAGTTCGAGCCCCACGTCGGGCTGTGTGCTGACGGCTCAGAGCCTGGAGCCTGCTGTGGATTCTGTGTCTCCCTCTGCCCTTTCCTCCCTCACACTCTGTCTCTCTGTCTCTCAAAAATAAACAAACATTAGAAAAGAAAAGCAAAGCAATGAATGAGGGGTGCCTAGGTGGCTCTGTCGGTCGAGTGTAGGACTTCAGCTCAGGTCGTGATCTTGCAGTTGGTGAGTTAGAGCCCTGCACTGGGCTCGTTGTTGTGGGCCCAGATTCCGCTTCAGATCCTCTGTCCCCTCTCTCTGCCCCTCCCCTGCTTGTGCTCTCTCTCAAAAATACGCATTAAAAATTTTTTAAAAATGATACTTATTTTAAAAAAAGAAAGAAAGAAAAGCAATGACTGTGCTCCTGTGCTGCTTGACCTTCCCAGTAGACTTAGGATGTGACCTTCACCTGGTAGAGGGAGAACCTGAGTGGCCCTGTCGGGTGGCCGTGCCACAGACACAGGGCACGGTGGGTGAGGCAACACGCCTTGGGATTGAACCCGCATCTGTACCCTGCCTCCTGCATCTCTCAGACCTCCCGCTCTCTCTGCGCCTCACCCCCTGTTCTGCATGGTACCTGCAGAATAGGCTGCTGCATGTATCACCTGAAACATTGCACCGTACGCGGAGCTCAAGGGAAGCACTCGGTAAATGGCAGTGATTACTATGGGCACAGCACACTTAAGGAGTTGGGTCTCCCTTGCCTGGCACGGGCGGGGCGAGGCAGTCACCTGCGAGCGTGGTGCGTGATGCTTCGGATACAGTCCAGGGTCACCCCAGATCACGGGTGTCCAAAGGGTGAAACTGCATTTAATGTCGCTGTTGCCTGGCATCATTCGCCACCAAGACACAGGCGACCGTGCCAGCAAACGAGGTGGGCGCCTTCATGGGGCTGTGATCCGCTGCTGGGAAGCCCCCGTGAGCTGGGAGAGAGAAAACGACCGGGGGGCTTCCCGCTGGTGACCAACACTGCTCCCGACCCCCAGCGAAAGCCCCCTTCACAGAGGGGGCCTGAGGGAGGTCAACATTCTGCTCGGTCTACTCTTCAGGCTGGGGTGGGGGTGGGGGCAGAATGGCTTACATTACTTAAAATGCAGAGGAAACCGTTCTAGAGGGTGACCCACGTGAGCAGCAGGGATGTGGCCCCGTCTCTGTGAACAGGCTCTGAAGGAGCCGTTAGTGTAAAAGACAGTGGTGGCGGCTCTCGCGTTCATGGTCCCGTGCTGGGGGCTACGTGACTCGCTGTGAAATGCTCTGGGGATATTCAGAGTAAGGAATGGGCCACAATAAAGCAAAAACCTGACTGGTAACCCCTTCACGAAGATGAAGTTCAGATGGATCCTGGGACCCGCAGGCCCACAGGCATCCGGTGAGGGTGGCAGTGCTCCCTGAGGAGCTCACGTGAATGTACAGCGAAACGCCGGCCATCGAGAGAAGGCGCAGAGGAGTGCTCACTCTCCTGGAGGGAAGCAGGGCGCCAGCATCATCACTCCCACTTTACGTGCCCTAGACCCCAGCCTGGGAGAGGAAGGCGGCGTGGGCGGGGTCGCAGTGCCCGCGCCTCTGCTGGGTGCCGTTGTCGGCTGGCCTACAGGAGGGGCGGTGATGCCTGGGCAGCAGAAGCGAAACGGGAAGCGGTGGAGCGGGTTTATTCTTGGGTCTCTGCCTGGGTCAGTCCAAACCCTCGGCTTTGGAGTCCCACTAACCAGGGCGAGAAGCGAGGAGGGTGAGGGCCTAGGCTCCCGACGAGCCAGGGAGGCCGGACGGAGGCAGCTGGGGAGGCTGGGCGCTGCTCCTCGGGCCCCTGACACAGCCTATTAGAGAACAGTCCTGGGTCCTTAGCCCCCGTCCTGGTACCAGCAGGGAAGGAGTTAAACGAGGAGACACCTGGGACTGTTTCCACCTCTACAGAGAATGTGAAGTGGGCAGGAGGCAGCCATTCAGGGAGCACGTTCCCAAGGGTGCTCCTGGGAGGACATGCAGCTCTCATGGGGCGGGGGGGGGGGGGGGCCGCTCCTGTCCTCTCATCTGAGGTGCAATCTTCACCTCCTCACCTTCTGAGGCCTCACTGCCTCTCTGACACTCGTTGCTCCTGAGCCCTCGCAACACCCCCCAACCCCAGGTCCCCGCCAGCGGCTTACCTTAATTCTGGGTAGACATTTTCGAGGTACCATTTGAAAGGCTTGCAGCTAAGTTTTTTCCGAAGCTCCAGTCGGCTCTGAATACTGAAGAGGGAAACAAGACTCCTTTAACAATGTAAAGAATTCGTGAGCTCCTCCTGTCAAATCTGCAGATCTGTTGCTGCGAGCGGCACGGAGGTGGCAGTTGACCCTGGGCCGTGCACGACCCTGTCCCCAGGACCCCGAGCGCCTCCCACACCCCTCCTGGCCGAGGCCCTCGCCTGGCCCTGAGCAGAAGCCTCTGCTGTGACGCCTGGGCGCCTGTTCTCAACTCTGGCGGCAGCATGGTTCTTGGGGAGCAGGCTGACCAGGGCCCCCCCCCAACCCCCACGGATCCTGAGCAAAGCAGCACGAGAGGGCGCGAGTCACGCTTACTTTCCATAAGGGACGTTTCTGGCAGAAGGCACTGCTGCGTAATAGAAATTTTTGTACTCATCCATCCAGACCTCTGCTGCCCGGCGGGTGTTGCTAGAAACAAAATAAATCTCCTTGAGCTGCGATCCGCTTCCTGTCCAACAGCGCCACCCTGTGGGCACTCGTCTGCTTGGTGTGCCACCTGGGAAAAGGTCCTCTGAGAAGGGCCCGCGGCTTTGGCAGTGACGCAGAGAGCGGGCTGTCCGTGCTCAGCACCCAGGCCCGTGTCTGCAGGTAGCTGGCATTCAGCGGGTGCTCACTGAACAAATAGAGATCACGTTCCAGTCTTTCACAGAAACGATCGTCCAAGAGCAAAAGTCAGGGTCAGAAATGCAGCATAGGCAGGGTCTGGGAAGGAGAGATGGGGGCTGCACCCTCAGGAAGGACTGAGTCCAGCACCTTGTGGCAGGGGGCATGGCCAGCGACTCCTTGGCCCCACATCGGCCCTTCTCATCATGGTTGTTAACACTACTCGACGGGCACCCAGGTGGCTCAGTCGGTTGAGCAACTGACTTCGGCTCAGGTCAGGATCTCCCAGTCTGTGGGTTCAAGCCCCACGTTGGGCTCTGTGCTGACAGCTCAGAGCCTGGAGCTGCTTCGGATTCTGTGTCTCTCCCTCTGCCCCTCCCCTGCTCATACTCTGTCTTTCCCCTTCTCTCTCTCAAAATTAAATAAACATTAAACAAATTTTAAAAAATGACACTACTTGACAGCTCTGTGCAGAAATTAAAAATAGATAAGAATTCCTATTATTTGAGGTGCCTGGGTGGCTCAGTTGGTTAAGTGTCTGACTTCGGCTCAGGTAATGATCTCACGGTTCGTGGGTTTGAGCCCCGCATCAGGCTCTGTGCTGACAGCTAGCTCAGAGCCCGGAGACTGCTTCGGATTCTGTGTCTCCCTCTCTCTCTGACCCTCCCCTGCTCACACTGTCTCTCTCTCTTTAATGTTTAAGTAAAACATTAAAAAAAAAAAAAGAATTCCTATTAAAAAAGACTTTTTCCCCTGTGGACCTGAGCTGACAGACCGTCCTGTTTGGATAGGGAATCGTGATGTGAAGGGGAGAGTAGCTGTATGCCCCACATCCGAGGCTCTAATTAGCTACCCTGTGCACAAACGGAATGTGCTTTTCTAGAAGGCAGGAAAACCATGTGATTAAGTCTCAAAACCATGACGTATGATTGGTAAGACCACTGGAACACACTGCTTTAGCATACACGGCCTGTGTTAAAGGTCCCACATGCCCAGGCGCCCGCATCTGACCCTGCCGACAGCTTTGCAAAGCCCGTTCAGAAGAGCATTCATGCAGGAAGCCTCTCTGCTCCCATATCCTGGCCTCGGTTCCCAACTAGACTCACCCCTCCTGAAGAAGCCATAGAGAACACATTATGTTCTTCCAAAATGAATATATTGGGGAGGCAGTGTTCACCTTTGAAAATAATTCCTTTGCTCTACCAAAAATGTCTCTCTTAAATGGTGAGCCTTTCAAATGATTTGAGCTACAATTACTAAAATAATTTCTATTCAGGGCATATACGTTTCACCTAAAGTGATGTAGAGCCCTTTTTTCTCTTCATGAAACAGATGAACTGTTTCAAATGCCACTTACTAGACAGACAAGATAATATGAATTACCCCTCCTCTGATCTGGTAGTTCCCACTTCTAGAATTTACCTCATGGAGATGAAGCAACTAGGAAGGAAAATATATATGTGAAAATATGTTCACTTCAGCATTGTTTAGAAAGGCAAAAAAAAAAAAATAGAAACCATAGGACCATCAACAGGGAAGTGATCAAATAAATGGACTTCTCTGTAGCTGCTGAAAATGCTGGTGTACATCTTATGTGCTGCCGCGGAAAGATGCCCTTGGCCGGCTGTTGGGTGAAAGGAAAACAGACCAGAGAACAGTGTGTGATAGATGTGTGTGTGCAGGGAGTGGAGAGGAGGGGGAGGGGAGAGGGCTTGAGAGATGGATCCCCTGTTACAAGACTACTACTATCTTTGTTCATGAGATTGGTGATATTTTTTCCTTTCGCTCTATAAGAAATACATATGTTCAACAATGAGCATGTAAAGATCTGAAGTGCCTGGGATGCTGGACCGTAAGTGTTATTACTCAGAAGAGCCAATAAATATTCTTTTTTTTTTTTTTTTCAAATAGTTTATTGTCAAATTAGTTTCTACATAACACTCAGTGCTCATCCCCAAAGTGCCCTCCTCCATGCCCATCCCCCTCTCCCCCCCACATCCATCAGTCCTCAGTTTTTGTCAGCATTCAAGAGTCTCTCATGGTTTGCCTCTCTCCCTTTCCCCCACCATTTCCCCCCTTCTTCTCCCCCTTGTTCCTCCGTCAAGTTCCTCCTAATCCTCCTATACGTGCAAACATATGATATTTGTCCTTCTCTGCCTGACTTATTTCACTCAGCATAACACCCTCAAGGTCCATCCATGTTGCTACACATGGCCAGATTTCATTGTTTCTCATTGCCATGTAGTATTCCATGGTATAGATAAACCACATTTTCTTGATCCATTCATCTGTTGATGGACACTTAGAGCCAATAAATATTCTTATTGGGATTCTGGGGTCTGACGAAGGAAGCAGCCCATGCCTCAATTTGCCCCCAATCAATGTCCAAAGGGCTGTGTAACTTCAGTCTTCTGGGACTGGGGTTTGTCATCAGTTAGAAGATAGGGCTAGATTCAAGCACCTCCTAGGTCCCTTTTAGCGCCACCGCTTCCAAGGTTTTCTGAATTGCAATCACACAGTGGTTCTGAATCACCTTAGTCACTAAGTCATTTCACAATCTCTAAATGCAAAGCGGCATCCTTCTGTCTACTTAATAGAAAAAGATACGTAGGTAGTCCCAGCCAACAGGCTTCACGTGCTTACTCAGTGCCAGTCTCCATTCATTCATTCAAATATTTATTCGGTGCCTACGATATGCCAAACGGTCTTCTTGGAGCTATGGATACAGTGGTACCTGGAAAGGTCCACTTTGATTTATCCAGGTTCCCCTTGCCTTTGCTTCCCCTCTGGCCACCGCTATACTACTCAGTGCCGACAGGGTAGCTGTCTCAGGAAGCAGGCAGCAAAGGAGGGTGTGATTCCCCTGGCCCAGTTCTACCGCTTGGTGGGAATAATGGAAAACAGTTCGGTAAGTTTAACCCACTGGTTTCTTGTATTTAATTTTGATCGTATGGGTGAAGTCTCGCCATGCGCTCTAAACCTAAAACCAAATAGCCCTCTCTGAGGGATGTGCCCCACCGCCAGGCTGCTACTCTGACTGGGGCCATCCCTGGCCTCTGGGTAAACTCGAGGTCACGCAGACCCTCCAACACACACCCAACACCCTGCAGTCTCGCACGGGGCTCGTAGGAAGTGAGCTTGAAATGCGGTGACGTGCTGAAATGGATCACTCTCGACAGGTCTTGAGGGACCTGGCTACTGTAACCACAGGGACGAAGAGAGAATGTGCAGGTGGGTAAGGTGGGCCTTACCCTTTCTCATGTGTGCACATGGGAGGGGTACAACAAGGTAGGACCCTGCCGGGGCTATCACTCCATTCATTCACTCATTCATTCATTCATTCATTCCTCACTCACTCATTCACTGACAAACTAACCTACATAAATGAGACCAACCTCTGCGTCTTGTTCTATTGCTTCTTTTAGAATCTGTATCTGATTCACGAATTCCAGCGACCTCAGACACTACTACGTACACCTAGGCATCTGGATAGAAGGATCAGTGTGTGGTAACGACATGGAGCCCGGAGCCTGGCTTTCCTAGTGGTGGCCTAGCTCTAGTGCTTTGCGGCTCTGTGAACTTGGACTGGGGGATGACCCTTTCGCTGCCTCAGCTTCCCCTTATCCTGAAAGTGGGGATTCATCAGAGTGCTTCTTTCATAAGGTTTTTGGAGGGTGATGTAAGCTAACATTGGTAAAGTACTGGGAAACGGCCCGACGCAGATGAATCACCACCTACGTATTAGCTATTGTTGTGAATTCCCAGTTGTTAATGGGGAAATACTTACACACTTAATGCCATGTATTAGACAAAATCAGAGAGAACGTGGGACTGGAAAGGGATCTCAGAAATAATCTAATTCTGCCTCCTCATCTTTTACATGAGTCAACCAAGGCAGAGGGCCTCAGAGACTCGCCGAAGACCTGGCAGACCTCTGGGGCCTCAGTCAGTCTTTTGCCCAGGCCTCTAGGGCACAGACTTCTCAGGGGCCAGACTTTACAGTGAAGTGTCCCTTCTAAACAGCTTTTAAAAAAAAAAAAAAAGTGCATACATAAAGGAGGATTAGGAGGAACTTAACGGAGGACCATGGGGGAGAAGAAGGGGAAAAATAGTTGGGGAGAGGGAGGGAGGCAAACCATGAGAGACTCTTGAATGCCGAGAACAAACTGAGGGCAGATGGGGGTGGGGGGAGGGGAAGGACGGTGATGGGCATGGAGGAGGGCACTTATTGTGATGAGCACTGGGTGTTATATGGAAGCCAACTTGACAATAAACTATTAAAAATAAATAAATAAACGTTAAAAAGATTTTTAAAAAAAGGTGCAGGTAACTTGGTCACAAGTTTTATTTGGTACTCGGCCTCACTGACGTCTCCTCACTGCTACCCTCTCTCCAGTTCTCCCGGTTCGGTCGGGGCACCGGGTCAGCAATGCCGACCGCGGGCCTGGGACCCACTCGTACTTCCTGGTAGTTGGTCGCCTGCCACAGCCGGGCCACCGTAAAGGCTGCCTGCTGGCGCTCCGCCTTCACAGCCACAGCCCCGCCTGCGCCACCTCCGCCCTGCCTGGCCCCTGCAACGGCTCTCAGAGGTTCCTGAGCCCCTGCTCCTGCCATCCCCTCCTGGCCACCCTCTGCCTGGAGGCCACGGAAACCTCGCTAAAGCTTCAAACAGAGAAGTCAGGTACCTACGGGAGCTTCCCCCGGCATCCAGACACTATCCCAAGTCTCCCGCCACCTACAGGTGGGGGCTGGTTGAGCTCTCCCACCCTGTCTACTGTCCCCTTATTCCCTAGGGTCGGTACTGGTCTCAGCGCCGAGGACCTGCTCGTCCTGTGGGAGCACTGTTCCCCAGGAGGCCAGAGCTCCTCCCTCCCACCTCTGGGTCTGCAACAAGTGCCACCTGCTCAGAGGTCTCTCCACATCCGGTCCCTCTCCCACTCAACCACCTGACCACAGGGGATCCTTCTCGGATCCCCCTAGCACCATTTCTCAGTGGTTGCGGTCTTATTTAGCTATTCAGATGTGGGGCTGAGGGCTCCCAGTACCCCGGGGCCAGGCTGGCCAAGGGCTTGGTGCTGTTTTAGCTTTGGCATCTGAAAGAATTCTCCAGAAAACAACCCATAGGCCCATACTGGGTGACTGGCCTGTCTTCTTCAGAAAACTATCTGTGTGCGAAGATGTATCTGTCATGTACCATAAATCATACCCAGATGCCACGTCTCTCTGGCTTGAATTTAGTACTGCCTGACTTTCGTGCTGCTTGAATGGTAATATACCAAAAATAAGTTCCTCTTGCTTACCGTAACGCTTTCTCATACCTTTTGGGAGGGTGTCCAGTTGTCTGTGCTTTCACATGTGTATGGACTGGTGTGATTACCCCCACATCAGGATGCAGGCTGGCGCGGTGACCCTGGACACCCCTCGGGCTGGCCCTCTGTACTCATGCCCCCGCCCCACCCCCATCTGCTCCCCATCACCGTAGCCGCGTCCTTCAGACACCGTCCAAGAAACGGGGTTTACAGCACACAACTTCTCACTCAGCATAATGTCCCCAAGGGGCACCCACGCTGCCGTGGGCACAGCTGATGCCTGTCATTGCTGAGTGGCACCCCAGGGAAGGACACCTGTTTCCGTACAGCCCGAGGTTAAGTCCTGACTGGGTGGTGGACGCCCATGTTCTTGTCCCCGCTCAGCTCCCTCGCAACCACTTACCGGGCGAAGACGGTGCCGCTGCCGCCTGGGAAGGTGTAGGGGTGCTGCTTCCGGAACACGTGTCCCACGCGGCTGCAGGGGACGATCTCCAGGCTGCCGCCGCACTGCCACACGCGGAACGAGATCTCTGAGGTGATGAATGAGACAGGGTGACTGAGGGAGCCCCGGACTGCTCTGAACAGCAGCCACCCCGGACAGGGTACCTGGCGGCCATCCACCACCATCCCGTCCAAGGGCTCTCGTTCCCTCATCTACTGAAGGAGATGTGAATAAGGAGCCTGCCTCCTTCCAGAATCCGGTCCTGAATGCTCCACGGTGGAGATATCAGACACACCCAGTATCTCCTGGGTCTGTGGCACAATCAAGAAAGTATGTGTCCGCAGATCAGCTTGACTATAGTCAAAACATATATCAAATCATCATGTTGTGTGCCTTAAATACACGCAATGCTAAGTTGTCAATCGCACCTCAATAAAGCCGGAGAGAGAGAAAAAAAAAATCGAACCAAAGTTGCTACTCCACTTCACTATGAGGGTGTCTCCACAGTGGTGTTGCTTTACAGAAGTGGAAGGCGGTGTAGACAAAAAAGAAAGAAACTCACTAGCTTTGATTTTAGCACAGATCCAAATTACGAAGTCGGCTAGATCTCTGTTACCAAATCCCATGGCTTCATTAAGGGATTTGATTCCAAATTAAAAAAAAAAAAAAACCAGCAATGAAAGAGCAGGCAGAAACACTTTTCCGATTCAGACACCTGCAGACAAATGGGATTCTTTGTTCTACTATGAACTCGCAGGGCTCTGGGCACAAGGCCTTGCGTGTCTGCAGCAACACTGGGATCGACTGATGAAATGCTTGCACTGAATTCTTCACTAGCTGGTTTGGGATCTATCACATTTGCACTTGCTTTGTATCAACACCATTAGAAAAGGCACCAGGAAGGTGTACAAACTTCCATCAAAAGGCATGAAACGCCCACCATGGGGCTCTGATTTCAGATATAACTGGCCACCCACCATAGAGGCCAACTCCCTCTAATACTTATTTTCAGTGCACCGACCATGAGAACGCAGCTGGGCTTTCTCTGTTCAGGAGAAAACAACTCTTCCCTCGAATTTCAGAATTTATGCTTCGCCAGAACTGTGCGTTATTAGCAGGCCTCAAGTCATCTGACAAGTTCACAGGTGCCTATGCACTGTGGGAATGACCAGGGACACTCGAGTAACACAGAGCCCTTGGAGCTGGCCATGGACTTCCTTAGTCAGTAACCAATGGTTCACCTGCTTTGACAGAATCTACCTGCAGGAGTAATGAGACGCTCAGGCCCACATCAACATGCACGCTGCCCTGAGCATCTGTATCAGGAAAAGCTCGGCGCACGGCTGGCTTCTGGAAGAGCCTGGCAGCCCCTGACCAGGCACGTGTCCTCCTCACCCACCATCTAAGTGACTGCAAGAAGTCTTCATGGTTTGTATAAAAGGGCACTTCCTCGACGTCACTTCACACCCCTAAGAATGCGGCGAGCCCAGAAATGGTAGTCGCTGCTGCCAGTAAGAATTGATCAGAAATAAGGCGGGATTCAGGCAGACCACCAGCGGGCTGCTGGGCAAATTCTCTGGACAAGGCCCTGTGTAGGGCAGCGGGCGCCCGGACGGCACCGCTCAAGGCACGTACCATCTGCTCCGTGCACCATGGAAGTTCCCAGTACTGAATCCAGCAAACTGAAGCAGGAAGCGCCTCACTGGCTAGAAAGGAGTGGTCCGTGCAGCTGAGGTGGGCCTTTCGTAACCGACTCCCTCTGAGCCTTGAAACATGTGGGGTCGTGACCACCCACGCCTCTCAGGGAAGGGTTTCTGACTTTCTTCGTGCCCAACAAAGCTTTGAATAAGTAGTACTCTGCATTTCAGGAAAATAAAAATTGCAATATGTTTGCCTAACTGGAACATTCCAACTGGGGGCTAGGAAGACCCTTAGGCTTCCGTGTGGGCAATCTGTTAAACCTGGTGGGGGATTTGGAAGGCCACACGCAGTTAGGATTACATTCAGCTCTGACTGCCCTTGAACTTGGGGATGCTACAACTTGGGAACGAGTACGCAAGAGAACTTGGTGGCTTTTGAGTCAGGCAGCTTGTCTGCCTCCTGGCTCTGCTGACAACCAGCTGTGAGGTCTCAGGCAAGGCCTTGGCCCTTCAAGAAGGCATGAAATGAAATGCACAGAGCTGGCAACAATCTCTACTTTGTGCCCCTGAAACTAACTAAATTGTAGTGCTGTGTTTAAGTATACTTCGATTGAAAAAATAAAAGAGCAAGCACAAAATGAGATGATGTCCCAGAAGCAGTTAGCATCTGTCCTAATGCTGTTGGGGACACGGCACAAATGACAATAATGTGCCCAAGGAGCCCGACTCCTGTGTCTCACAGGGACTGGGGATTCGGCTGCTTCCATTAGACTTATGTTACCCGCTGGGTCAGTCGGGAGCTGTTGTAGTTTTGCGGGGGGGTGCACGTGGAGGTGGCCTTGGACTTGACTCAGGCATCCCTGCATCCCACCTCTCAGGACACACGTCCACATGCCACGCAGGGTGGACACCCACTGGTGTGCACCTACCCAGCACTCCCAACAAGAAGTCAGAGGGGTGTCAAAAAGGCTGAGACTGAGGACTTCTCTTGCTACGCCTGTTCACCCTCTGGGGACAGTGGAAGACTCCCCGGGAGTGGCCCTTGTAAAGCTCGCACCCACGCAGGGACCGCTCCAGCCCCTCCCTCCCGGTCCTGCCTCACCCCGACCCGAGGACCCTCAAGCCCTTCCGCGGAACCTCCCACCCCCCCACCCCCCGGCACAGCCACGTAGGTATAAAAACCAAACCAATACGGGATCCCCAGTGTCCCCACTGGTATTTACATCAACACCCTTCCTACGCTGTGGCCCAAAGCCTGCTGCCACATTATCTGCCTCATCCGTGCTTCCGGCTGACAGCACACCCTTTGAAAACCATGTCATATTTTCAGGAAATGGTCACCTAAGTGATGCACTGTCCCTTCTCCAGTGGCCCTGGCTGGCCCGATTTCCACGAAGCCAAAAAGAGAGGTCTGTGGACCAAGGGTGACTAAGAATTCTCTTCAGAAGGTTAGTAATTCTTCTAAAGCCTATCGTGCTCAAATGACTTTTATACAAGCCCTCCCTACCTGTCACCGTGTCGTTAAAAACACAACCGAAAGGAGCTTGAGTCATGGTCTTTTGTGCCAGTGTTGTTACTGAGCCTGAAGAGGCTTTCAACATCAAACCGAGGCAGACAAGCCCTCCACAGAGGAGATGCCATCACTCACTGCCTTTAACATCATAAACTGAGAGGAACATAACAGGCTAGGCTAGTTTTTTTTCTTCTAAACGAAGAATAAATTTCTGTTACAGGTAAAAACTCCTAAAAGTGGCGGTGACATCATTTTTCCTCTCTTTTGTCCCTGCCCTGCTTTCTCCTAGTGTTTGCCTACCCAAGGGCGGATGGTCCCAAAGTGTCAGGAGCTGAGAAGACTCAGTTCAGGACCCCCAGCAAAAACAAAAACAACAACAAAAAGACACTCCCCCAAAACAAAAACCAAAAACAAACAAAAATCAAACAAAATAAGGATAATCTTTTTATCTTAATGCAATAAATACGACGCAGGTACTAATCCTGACCAAAGTCTATAAAAGTTCATTGTCCCGGGGGTGCCTGGGTGGCTTAGTCGGTTAAACGTTCGACTTTGGCTCAGATCATGATCTTGACCCCGCGTCCGACTCTGTGCTGACTGCTCGAAGCCTGGAGCCTGCTTTGGATTCTGTGTCCCTCTCTCTCTGCCCCTCCCCTGCTCAAACTCTGTCTCTCCGTCTCTCAAAAATGAACATTAAAAAAATTTTCATTGTCCCTAAACCTGAGGAAGAATGATTAGCATGGGTTAGTCAAACAAACAAAAAATCAAACCAAATGAGAACCATTCACAAAGTAGTCAAGAAGGGATTAAATGCCATGGCCTCTCCATGCTGTATGATTTCCGGGACTACAGTCAACCTCACGAGGCTGCCCGGGCTCACTTTCCACTCCACACGGCCGAAAGCAAATCCTACAACCTGACATGCTTCCCCATGTCTGTAAGTTCGCTTTCCAAACCCTCGGGTCCAAATGACATTGAAGAGTTTGCGTTTTCCTTCAAAGGCACTGCCTGTCTTCTGGCATCCCATATTCTAACTTAGGGCGACAGATTTTAATGCCCAACCCAAGACACTCTGAAGAGAGAAAGGGATGTTATTGATGCATATCTGGGGATGGACGGGGTCTGATGAGCGGCGACTAACGTCTTTATAGTTATTTGCCAACTGGCTGCCTGCATACCGCAAACTCTTGCCTACCAGCCTCTTCAAAGTTTCCATTTTCATTCTGACGCCCTTGATGGGCAGGAGAAGGCCACGGCCTCCCCAGGCTTGAAGAGCCAAGATGTAAGCTCACACGCACCCAGGTTCTCTCCTCCCCACACGTCCATCATCATGTCGTACTTCCCCAGTTCTTCAAAGTAGAGCTTGTCCATCACGAACAGCCCACCAGCAATCATAGGGGTTCTGAAAAGGCAGAACGGGTGGAAGGGAAGAGAGGGAGAGGCCAAAGATCAAGGTTAGATCTGCATTCTAATGTCAAGGTCAGGTCTATGAGGTGACCTTAAAAACAACGGCACAGCCACGGTTCCCCAATCAGGGCCCAGGATGTTCTGTTTTTCCACTGCTGACTTCAAATGCTTCCCACCTGCCCTGCACAGATGCTCCCACAGTGTAAGGGGCTGGACCCAGTCCCCTATGAAAGAGTGACTGCTGAAGCTGGGGACACTCACTGACAAGTGGCCCTAGGTACTTGGCCTTTCTGTGCCTCCGTGTCCTTAGGGGATTACAAATGAACACGTACAAACTCTTAGGAGATTCTGTAAATGACTCAACAATATCAGCTGTCCTTATCCTGGAGCCGGTTCCTCCTGTCAGAGGGGACCCTGAGAGGGGGTTAACTGAGCCCCTACTTCATTCCCAGTAGGTGCCCTGAGAACTCAATGTCAAGTGCTGGCATTCTAGCACATACTGTGATGCTGGATAAACGCTAGCAAGTCCTGGAAGTCAGTGTGGGTGGTTAGTGCTGGTGGTGTTGCTGATAGTCAGTGGTGGTAGTCAAAAGTGGTGGTCATATTGGTAGTAGTCACTGGTGGTAGTCAGTGGTGGGAGTCAAAGGTGGTGGTCAATATTGGTAATAGTCATTGGTGGGAGTCCGTGGTGGGAGTCCATAGCACTGCCACCACCTGCAAAGGCACCCACATTCATGCCCAGCTAAAGGTGGTCGACTCCTGACTCCCGATCCGAATTCCTCAGCAGGGCATGGCCTGAGAGTCTGAAAGCCAGATGTTAATGAACACAAGCTCTCTCTTCTGTGGGCACACAGGAGAGCAGAGACAGCTCAGATACAGACCCGGAAGGGCAGCAGCATCGGGGACTCACACTCAGTACCCCTTGTCCTGGGTCCCCAAGTTCAGCTTTCAGACCCCGCCCTGCTGGAAATTGCTCTGCCATATGGGCATGAAGAGCCTCACAGAACTTGTAGCTCAGCCTCCTAGATCTGTACGCGAGGCTGCACCTGAGGAAATCTCAAAGTACTTCATTCTATGATCGGATGGCAGAAACTCTCCCTTGAGCCACTACAGGGTAAACAGTGCTGGTAGGGAGAACAGCTTAACTACGTGTCTAGAGAACACACGGCCCGGGGTCCTCACCTGTGAGGGGCACTGCAACCGATGCTCGGCACTTACTTTATGGGGGCGACTGGGTTCCCTTGACGGGATCTTCTCTGCTCAGGTGTCATGTAATCCCATTTGAATACCAGGTTCCAGTCAAAACCTGCGGCCACAGAGAAGACACAAAACAACAGGGTGCTGACAAGCACGGACTGTGCTGATGTACCCCCATCCCTCACAGCTTTGACACATTTGTATTTGATGTCTGGATTGCGCTCACTGAAACCACACACAGCAGAGCAAAATTAAGAAGAGCAGAGCGCAACCATGCAGGCAGCAGCGGGAGGGAGAGGGCGCCCCCTGCACAGGCTCACCCTGAGCAGAAAGAGCAGGTCAGGCCTTCCAGCGATTCAAATGCCTGAGGGTAACGGACATGGGGAGGGAAGGGGGGCTCTGTAAGGAAGGGAGAAAAAAGGAGGGACAAAGTCAAATCTGCCACCACAGCCTCCAACACTGTCCCGGGGCAAAAGAAGAACCCAGGGGAGGGGACAGAACAATAGGGTCCCTGGGCCTGCAAACTTGGGCCCTCTTAGTGTCCCCTGATGCAATGGAGGGGGTGGGGTGGCAGAGGGAACACTGTTTGATGAACATGAGCCAAAGGAGTAGCGCAGCGGGCAGCAAGCTGCAATTTCTGAGAAACACGGACGCCGTCCCAAGTCCCTTTCAGAAGCCACAGGCCCTTGGGATGGCCAAGTGCAGGCCCAGCACCTGGCTGTGGTTTCTAGGGTTTGTGCTATGTCTCGCCCTTACTCAGAAGGTAGCCTGCACCTTGGGCGCCAGCACACCCCACCTGCTGACGCTCTCGAGATGCACAAGGAGACCAGCTCTTGGTAACGGGGGGCTCACCATACTGCGTTTCCAAGGGTCTGACAGCCGAACCTAATTACTCCAGGGCCATCTGTCCTTCAGCTCTGAGCCATCGGGCCGTGGGCCAGCAGGGGCTGTGCAAGGCCTAGGTTCAGCTCTCTCTACGGTGTGCTCTGAGGTCAAGGTCTGTCTGCCCTGTCAGCCCCCATGTCTGTAGCCTGAACAGGGCAGGGGGGGAGATGTGGGCTGGGGGTCTCCTGGGCCAGCATAGTATACCTGATGCCCCCCCACCCCCAGAGGCATGGGACCACAGAGGCCCCCCGGTTGGTACTGCAGAGTGTGGGGGACTAGCAAGGAAGAGGCGAGTGGCTGGAGGCCAAGGCGGTGGAGACGGGAGCACAGAGAAGGAGCTGATGCAGGCCTCACACTGGCCTCCCGAAGAGCCCAGCTCTCCCCCAGGCCTGCCTCAGGGAAATGCCAAACATCCCACCTGTGTCATTAGCAGACAATGCAGAGGCCCCAGTGGGCTAGCTGACAGAACATTACCTGCCTTTTTTCTTTTCTTCTTAACGTTTTTTATTTGTGTGTGTGTGTGTGTGTGTGTGTGTGTGTGTGTATGTGTGTGTGTGTGTGAGAGAGAGAGAGAGAGAGAGAGAGTGCGCGCGAGCACGAGCAGGGGAGGGTCAGAGGTAGGGAGGGTCAGAGAGAGAGGGAGACACAGAATCTGAAACAGGCTCTAGGCTCTGAGCTGTCAGCACACGGGGCTTAAAACCACGAACATGAGATCATGACCTGAGCCAAAGTCGGATGCTTAACCGACTGAGCCACCCAGGCGCACCGTTACCTGCCTTTTTTCAATGTTTGTTATTTTATTAATTTGGTCCAAAGAGACAAACCATGTTAGATTTTGAGAATCTGCTAAAAATGTCGTCCTTGATTTTCTTCCCCTAAAGGAATCTGATAAAATGCTCCCGGAGGAAATTTGGTGCCTCCTCTTCTTGCGACCCTGCAGGAGGCCTGTGCCCCTCGGCGGAGCATCTGGGTCCCTGCACTGGCTCTCGTACAATTAGTTGCTCTGGGAAAAAAGAGAGCCCATCAAATCCTGGCGCCTGCAAATCCTCAGGGAAGAAGACGTTCTGAAGACTAATGCTTTCTTGGTAAATAAGGATCTGTCCCCTTTAAAGCCGCCAAACCGTCCTGCCATTTGCTGAAACTCTTTTCTGAACTTGATGTTTCCTGATGTGACCAGTCCTCCCACTACAGCGGCCCCGCTGCTGATGCCTCGGGATCGGGCAGCTGCCCGGTCACATCCCTGACCTCACGGCGGCTACATGCAACCCTTCACTGCCTGCTGCGGCCGGCGCTACTATCGGCCCACTTCTCAGATGGGCATGCTGAGGAGCAGAGGTTAAATGGCAGGTGGGGACCAAGCTGGAGTCTCCCGGACTGGCCAGGCCTTCTGTTTTCTGAGGTTGTGCCCGTTTTTAGAGTTCCACGGTCTTCTTTGGTTCATGCCAGACTACCAGCAGATCTCGTGTCCGTCTGCACCAGGGAAAAGCGGCCCCTAGTTTCACATAAAGCAACCGGGGTGCCGGACAGGTAGAAAAGACTTCGGGCACCGTAGGTGTGAAGAACCAAACAGTGAATACATTACACAAACAGAAGGCACCGGCTCAGACATCTCTTTCAGCTGCTCTGAGTGGTCTTAGCTGACCTCCTGGCTCTCAGCCGAGCTCTGAGAGGCGTGGCTGGCGTCCAGCTGAGGTTCAGAGCCCAGAGCCCTGTGTTATCAGCCACCCCCCTCCCACCAGTCCCAGGGACATAAGGACCAATAAGAGCCCAGTGTCATATGCCCAGTTCCTTCGAGTGGCCAGTGTGATTCCTATGCAGCCATCAGCCCCACGAGCACTGCCCAAGACCGGCGGGCCCCCTGGCACGGGCCGGAAGCCCATGGGGGTCCACAGACCCATTTGGGGGTCCGCCATGTCAAAACTGCCTTCATATCTGCACTGAGACCTTATGTAAATGCCTCTGCCAGTCTCACTCTTTCAAAGGTCCATGATAGAGTTTTCCAGAAGCTACAGGAGGCATGATATCAGCATTCTGATGGACAACAGGGTGAATATTTGCATCGCCTCATGTTTTACCCAGTTCTCGGCCTGAATTCTAACACAGCAGATGCTGACACACAGAGCTAGCACAGTGCACTCGAACAGGGGTTCTCTGGGGCCCGTGCTAAATTCTGAGAAGGGGACGAGCACGAGAAAAGTCACTAATGGGGCCCCACGGGGGCTGGGTGTGAGAGAACACATCCGGGGGGCTGTGCGGTCCCATAGGAAGCTGGTGTGGCCACTGAGACTCGAGGCCACCCGGAAGTGAAGCGGGATGTGGGTGGGCCGCGGGGTGGGGTGGGAGGTCCACAGCCAAGCCACATGATGGGTAAAATCGGCGGGGGTTGGGGATGACCCAGGTGCCCCGGGCGGCGGGGCAGGTGACCTGGGTGGCTCTGCGGGGAGACGCAGGCTGTGGGAGGAGCTGGCATCACAAAGGAAGCAAGGCGAGGCCCAATGCTGAGCTCCTGTCGGCTCTGTGCTGCTCATCCCAGACTCCGGCTTGGGAAGGCTTAACCTCCCCTGATTAAAAATGACACCGGAAGCGTGTACGAAGCCACACGTGTCATAATAGCCACAGAAGGTCAATGAGATAAGAGAAGAACAGGAAACACAGGAAGTTCTTGAAGGGAAATGAGGCTATTTTTCTCTCCCTTTAGGAGATCCTACTTGTCGAGGCGGGAGACACCCTCTGCTCGTAGCGCGTGCCCCTGCGGCATGAAAGCTGCTGTCACTGTCACTTGAGACACTGAAGGGGAGCAGCGATCAGATGCCATGCAGACAGCAAGAGCCAGGCCGGGGGGGCGGGGTGGGGACCAGGAGCGGCACCTACCGCCTTTCAAGTCAGCAGACGCCCCCACATACTGAAAGTTGTCCATATTAATGACATCGATGATGGGGGACACGACTCGAGTCCTGTCCTGAAACACAAATCAAGAAGACAGGAGTCAGAATCACAAAGAAAACAAAGAATCCCCCCCTCCCCAAGGCAGGCTGTTTCAGTGAAACCCATCGCCTGTCATTGCGTACCACCCTGCGCTCAAGGGGACCTTGGGGGTGTGGGTCGGGGGGACTCATGGCCAAGGCACCCACACGGCAGTACGAGCGCATGAGGAGAGTCATCAGATATCACTCCAGCAGAAGCGAAACCAAGTTGGCTAGAGAATTTCAGACTCTACGTCTGTCTTAGCTATGATTCTACCAAACAAGAACATTTCTTCCCTGGGATTGAGGCACTTCTTTATGCCACTGTTGTTATTCTGGTAAGAGTTTGTGAACACACAGCCTTTTAACTTTCCGGCCCCCCTTTAAACCAGATGCTTGATGCTGACGACAGGCGCTGCCCCACGCGGCTGGCTAACAAAAGAGTAAGCGCGGTCCTCCAGCTATTTAAAGAACCCGTGTGAACCAGAAGAAAGACTTCGAAAAACAAATTAGTGATGGAATCAGCAGAGCTAAAACCTAACACATCAGAGGAACACAGAAGAGAACAGTATAAAGTTCTGACAGCGCCCAGGAGTGAGTTTACAAGGCACAAAACCCTGTGCACCAAATAAGTCTTCCTCGCCTGGCTCTGTCCAGATCCGGGGGGGTGGGGGGGAGGCGTCAGATAACATAATTTGCTGTACTTCTCAGTCTGCTTCTTTTGTTTTGACTCCCTCTCCTTCTTCTTTTTTAAAGTTTATCTATTTTGAGAGACAAAACGCGAGTAAGGGAAGGGCAGAGAGAGAGGGAGAGAGAGAATCCCAAGCGGGCTCCGAACTGTCAGCACAGAGCCGAACACAGGGCTCAAACCCATGAATGGTGAGATCATGCCCTGAGCCGAAATCAAGAGTCAAACACTCAACTGGTTGAGCCACCCAGGTGCCCCTTGACTTCTGATAGGACTGGAATTTGTGAGAAGTACAGTTCTTCACTCCTTCTGTCCTTACTTGAAGAGAAGGTATTTGAAAGAATTCTGACAGTTTGACGGCAGAAGCTGTGGCTGTGTCCTCTGCCTCTCTGGGGGAGAGGACACAGCCTGGTGTGTGAGTATGGGCCTGGAGAGGAGGGGATTCCAGAGGGTTCTTCCCCTGGCTAGGTGTGTGTAGAGGTGGAAGAGGGCTCAGTGAGGGGGGATGCAGCCGAAACTGCTTTTCAATCCTGGCTGTGCCTCCTGTGTGAATTTTGGGTGTGTTATTAAACACATTAACCCACGTTTCCCATGTGGCAGATGGGCTCAATATGTAATTTACCGAACACACAGTTAATACTCAACAAACAGCCCTGAATATCGTAGTATCTATCACTCATAACTAGGACAGGGTATCAAGATCATCAATATCATCGTGACATCATCATCCCTAGTAGCTTGGGGTTATTTAGTAGTTTGTGACGTCCTGTCCCTCAGCTCTCTGTGTCTCGTGTGACTTGTAAAAGGCCTGACTTGTTTATTTCCTCTTTCTCCGGTACTTTCGTCAAGTTTGCTTTATCACCCCAAAGAAACCCTTTCTCCATATGGAGAAAAGTCAATGAAACAAGTAAATGGCAAGAGACGTGAAGAAAGGCCGAAGGTAATACCAGTGATGATGTTTCCAGAGACAGAGACACACAGAGTGGGCCATGGGGCACCCTGACGGCCTCTAATGGTCCACAGTGTGGTCACGGGCACCCCGTTCTGCTGTGCAAGCAGCACGGCCAGAGACAGCCGCCTCAGAGGGAAGGGGCCGTGTGGACCTGATCAGGCTCTCACCAGTCTCTGCTGCTCCCTGCCTCCGACCCGTCAAGTGAGTTTTTTCCCCAGTGATAAGATTCCTAGTGAAGACTTCTCTTGGAGCAGCTGCCCAAGAGGCACTTTCTCCCCCCTCCCTTCCCAGCAACCAGGAGAAGCCCAGCGCGGGCCCTAGGGCCTCACCTCGGCCACCCTCTCCAGGAGGGGCTCCAGCCAGTGCTCGTTGCACTCACAGTGGCTGTCCAGGAACGTCAGGACCTTGGCCTGGGCCGCATCGGCCCCCCGGACCCGCGAGCGCATCAGGCCTGTGGAAGGGATTTCAAAAGCGCGTCAGGGTATCTGAGAACAAGGCAGCAAAACAGCACATCCAGCACTGCATCGACATTCCCCCCATGGCTCCGAGGCCCTCTTGCTGGGCAGAGTCTAGTGCCAAGTTGGAGGGCCTGATTGACCCTGCCCTGTGGTTAGCCAGACAGACGTCTGTCAGGATTCCTTTCTCTCAGTTAACTGGAGAACGAGGAAGACAACTTTCTTAGAACTACTGCCTTCTGAGGAAGGCCTTTAGGAAACTGAAGCCTCCCTCATCAAGCAACCAAAACATGGAACTTTTCCACCTACTTTCCTCAGACGCAGCAGCCGTTTTCTACTTAACTAGGGCAGGGGAGGTGTTACTCAGATACTTCAGGTGCTGATGGTACCTATTTTAATGGTGATAATGTAATGCTCAGGGTGGTAGAAATATCTCTGTCTGTGTAAGACCTACCACAGCCAAAGCACACCAGTGACAAATCCCAGTTGATCGGCCTTTACCTAAAATTAGTGCCACGACTGGTCAAGTTACACAATTTGCATACTTGTGATGGTAATAATATGGATCTTTTGTTATCACACCAAGTCTTATCACGAGGAGTATCTCTGTCACCAGATGATGCGGTCGTAAACGGCTTCTGCTGTGTACGCCGGGCTCTCCATACTAGCCCTTGTCCTGATTACCCGTGGTTTTACTTTGCACAATTTCAGTTACCCGGAGTCAACTGTGGTCTGGAAGCAAGAGGGTCCTCCTTCTGACAGATCATCAGAAGGCCAGGAGGATGGGGCACCTGGGTAGCTCAGTCGGTTGAGTGTCTGACTTCGGCTCAGGTCATGATCTCACGGTTTGTGGGTTCGAGCCCCACGTCGGGCTCTGTGCTGACAGCCAGCTTAGAGCCTGAAGCCTGTTTCAGATTCTGTGTCTCCCTCTCTCTCTGACCCTCCCCTGCTCATGCTGTCTCTCTCTCAGAAATAAATAAAACATTAAAAGAAGAAAAATTAAAAAAAAAAAATAAGAAGGCTAGGAGGAGCCTAACGTTGCGTCACAAGCCTGTGTCATCCCCCTCACTTCATCTTATCATGTGGGCATTTTATCACCTCACACCACCTCGTATCATCACAGGAAGGGTGAGAACAGAACGGTGAGATACTTTGAGAGAGACAGATCACACGCACGTACCTTTTATACAGTGTAGTTCTACCTGTTGTGTTTTGTTACTAGTTATCATGGTTAATCTCTTACTCTGCCTAATTTATAACTTAAATGTTGTTGGCGATAATGTGCGCAGGGAAGAACATCGTTTATACAGGGTCCCTTACTGTCCGCGGATTTGGGTGCACTGAGGGTCTTGGAAAGTCCTCCTGTAGATAAGGAGGCACATCTGGATGTGCAGATGATATGACTACTCACAAGCCGTGAGGACAGTGTTTGCAAGTTCCTTTCTACAGAGGAGTCAAAATGAGTTTTCAGTGATTCCTCCAGATCTGCACGCTACGGGAGGGGACAAAAGATAAAGGCTTCTATATTTCGGAGTCTATATCTCCCTCTCTCTCTGACCCTCCCCTGCTCACGCTGTCTCTCTCTCTCTCTCCTAGAAATAAATAAAAATATTAAAAAAAAAAAAAAGATAAAGGCTTCTAGTTCTGGGAACTGGTAAGCGAAGAGTCTTAGCTTGGGTTGGGTGAGCGCTTGCTCAGGGCTCTGGCCAACACTGAAAAAGCAAGTCTCGGCCAGGGCCAGAAAGCAGCGAGAAGCAGGCAGAAACTGGAGGGGATTCAATCCTTCAAAGAAGAAAACCACAGGGAGTGAAGCCCAGGTGTATGTGTGCTGTTTCTCCCAAGGTTATGTTAGGAGCCACCGCAATACAGCCTTTTTGCTGGGGTGTCTGGGGACAGAGTTCAGGGTTTCTATAGTTGCCAGAAGCTGAAGGGGGACATCCCGCAAAGGGGGCTGGTCAGGTCCAAACCTGGTGCTAACCTCCCCGTAAATCCTCGGCTGACTCCGGAACTTCAAGCACAGGGGAGACTCCACCGAGTGCGTGAAAAGAAACAATCAGAAGGCAGAGAGAACGGAGACTTCAGCCGGTAACCACCACAGGCAGGACACACAGTGTGGCACACGGCTTCTACCACGTTAGAAGGCCTTGGTCATCGCTTAGGCTCCCCAGCTGATTCTAATTAATAAGCAGCCAGATGAAGTCACCGGCGCAATAAAATCTCCACTAAACAAATCTAAGGCGGTTCCTTCACTGCCATCATATTTCACGCTGCTGATTTTCTCTGACGTCCAGTAGCATTACTAAGTGCCTGTATAGATGTTCAAATGCGTGGGACGTGTACATACACACACAGACGCCCAAGCACATACGTACATCCTAGGCGTGCGTTTTCTCACTCAACATCACACACTTCATTTGCTGCTCACAGGCTGCCTTCCCACACTCTGCCTCCCCACAGCGGCCCCTCCCCAACCAACTTCCAAAACAGAGCGTCAACTTGCGTCCTTCCTCAAGTGAACATGCTAACTTAAAGCACTCAGAGGCACTGAGCTCTAAGGTTCAAGGCACTCTCTGACAAGGCCAGCAAGTGATCTGTCAGTCATAAAATTCCCACATGAAAAATAATTTTTCTTTTCCTCCTCCTCCTTTTTTTTTCTTTTTTCTGTGCTAGCAGATGCTTTGGGTTTAAATTCAAAAAGTTATCACTGTTTGGGGGGGGTGCAAATGGAATGAAAGATTTTGGTTTGATTTCAAGGTGTGGGCTTATTTGAAGCTTGGGAGACAGATGGGAGTCCAGCAAACAGAGCGTGCCTAGGGCAAGGCTGATGCCACGGTGTAGGCATCCTGAAAGTGCGGAATGATGACCTTGTTGGCTAAAATATGGTGCTGATGGCACTGTCCTAACAGGCTCAATCACTTTATCGCTGATGAAAGTCTTGCCAGGAAAAACTTCATGGCTTGGCTCTGGCTGGACCGCACGGAGAGCCGGAAGAAAGAGTCTACACTGATCAGAGAATACAGCCGCCCCTCCAGGACCAACAGAGTCCTCCTCAGCTCACCAAAATGGCACGTGTCACATCTGTGCCATGTTCCCACCCCGAAGGATTTCTCTGGACGTTGGAGGAGCCTAGAGTCCAGTCCCTGAGCCCTCCAAACAGCACTGATACCCTGGATGTTAATTTCGCTGTGGTCTTAGCTTCCCTTCCGACACTTCAAAGTAAGACTCCCCCCCCTTTAGAGTCTCTCTTATAACTGCCAATAAAGTGGACTGGATGAGCCCGGCTCCAGCAGACAAGACTGACGGCAGGCTTTGAGGCTGACATTTGCAAAATCCAATAAGCATGTAATTGCAGCACTCTCTCCCTTTTTGGGATGGTTCGCCTTCAGCAGGCTGTCAAACTTGAATCTGTTATTTTATCAGATGCCTAGAGCATGGAGTCACTCAACGTCTCATTGCTAAATCTTTGTTTTTCTTCTCAACCCTAGTACTCCCGGGACTGATAAGGCTTCCTAGGTTGTAAAGGGAAGAGAGGCACCGTGTTCTAAATACATAAATAAAAATGGAGCTTGAACTCTTGCCCTAGTATACAAATAATTTCAATTAAGCTTTGAACATCCTCCCTTGGCTTTGCTGGGAAAGGGGTCCCCAGAGGCTCCCTTAGAGAGACATAGACAAAAAAGACTACAAAGTTAATTGTTCTTTTAGCTGAAATGTTTCGGGCTCGGGAAAAGTTAGAATTCAACTGTCTTGGTAGTGAATTAAGAAAAGAGCCTTACCTTCTCGCCGATCATTTCTGAGAACGCGCACCTTCTCAATTTTCCCCAAGAGAGCCCCGTCCTCAGCTAGGGAAAGAAAGAAGCATTTGGAACCTCGTTTACAAGGCCTCTGTATTCAAGTATTGTGGTTCCCAGTCATCTGTGGGCGGAAGATCTCCTAGGGCATCAAAGAGGCACCTCTTCTTGCCATGGCCCTGACTTCTGACCTTTCTAGGAACTAAGGAAGGCCGAGTCCCGGGAGAAGGGCCAGGTGGGGGACAGGGTCAGTTTCGGTACTTACGGTCATTGCTGTAGTCGTCCACCAAGATGATCTCTTTGATGAGGTGGGGTGGGCTTTTCTTAAGCACACTGAGGAAACAGAAAGATATAGGTTGGGATGCCCTGGTGGCTCGGTTGGTTAAGCGTCTGACTTCGGCTCAGGTCATGATCTCATGGTTCGTGAGTTCGAGCCCCACGTTGGGCTCTGTGCTGACAGCTCGGAGCCTGGAGTCTGCTTCAGATTCTGTGTCTCCCTCTCTCTCTGACCCTCCCCTGCTTGTGCTCTGTTTCTCTCAAAAATAAATAAACGTTAAAAAAAAAAAAAGAAAGAAAGAAAGACAAAGTTTGGAGGCCTTGTAGGGGTATCACTTGGGGCAGGGGATTCTCATGTGCTGGTCCCAATCCGTGGCTGGAGAAGCCGTCGATTAGCCACTCCTTGTGCGGCGGTCAGGTGACCCATCAGAACCCCCAGCAGACAGCTGTGGCCTGGGTGCGCTGGGGACGCAAGCTGTGTCCCACACTCCCGCCTGGGAACGCCGCCCATATGGTGCAGCAGGCGGGCACTGGGTGGCCTCTCCTGCCCTCACCTGACCACTGTCCTCAGCAAGGCCGACCTGGCTTCATTGTGGAAGGTGATCACCACGCTGGTGGCCGGCAGGTCCACCCGCCACTGCTTCCGTTGACACCTGAGGGGGGAGAGAGAGAGCGTCCTCTGAACACACCTGGCCCAGCCGCAGAGCGAGGCCCGGGAGGGCACGTGCCCTAAGTTCCGCTGGGGACGGAGGCTCCCGGGTGAGCCTGCTATCTATAGAAGGAACCGGCCTATTCTGAGAGACGGTGACCATGGGACATAAGGAAACAGGAACACAACCGGAGTCACATTTTCAAAGATGATTTCCGCGAAAAGTAACATATTGAGAACATCTTTCTAACGCCGATGGGGGAAAAAAAAAGTGTGTTTTAAAACAGTGAAGTCCCATTTATTCTCACATGCAGACACACCTCTAGGGATGTGCTTTTCACAACCCGTAGGGGTTACTTCTGAGGGGCAGGACCAGCTGCGAGTCGCTGTTCTTTTCTCATCTCTCTGGCGAGCGCGTGGGGCCCTCGTGGTCCTTGGCCAAGCTGTATCTGAAGCCTGGCTCTGGCCCACCGATTGCTCTCCCCGCCACACCCCCCAGGGCAGCAGGGACACACGTCTGTCACCCCGCCAGCCTGTCCCCCAACAAGGCAGGCGGCAGCGGCGCAGGGTGAGGTGCGGGCCCGTGGGAACCGGACCCCAGCCACTCTCACGTGGGGCTTGAAGGAGCCCCGTGAGAATCCAGGGATTGCTTCTGAATGAAGTCGATCCAGGGACCAGGGATAAGCTCTGGGCAGACGGAAACAAGTCACTTCTCAAGGCTGGTCTCCACAGACAGACACAAGACCACAAGGGCACAGGATGGCTGCGGTGAAACACAGGACCCCGGCAGCTCTCAGTTGAAGATGCTGAAGTATCACACGTGAGAGGCAGAAACGACCCATCGGCGTAGATTGGGCCCAGCAGGAACCATCCTAAGGGACCCTTTAGGGCAGGCTCCACGGGCTTGGAGAACATACCGGCGTAAAGGTGATGGTTCTAGAGAGAGCAATACAACTGGGGTGGGCATACAGCCTGTCAGTACCGCTGGCAACATTCAGGCTGTTACCAAAATGATGGTACCACTGGTACCCGCTTGGAGAAAAGGCTGGGAAGACAGGAAAGCATCTTTGCCATGAGGGAAACGGAAACAGTTCTCAATATTGGGTTTTTTTTTTTTGAAGAGTGCAAGCAGGGGAGGGGCAGAGAGAGGGGGGACAGAGGATCTGAAGTGCGCTCTCTACTGACGGGCTGACAGCAACAAACCCGATGTGGGGCTTGGACTCACAAACTGCGAGAGCATGACCTGAGCGGAAGTCAGATGCTCAACCAACAGAGGCACCAAGGTGCCCCTCGACCAGTCCTGCTAATACCCAAGGTCCAAAGAGTCAGGAGGGTAGGAATCTGTCATTTGGCCCCCACAATGAGGTCCCGCCACCCTGGCCTCTGTGATAGCTGGAAAACCTTCTGTGAGGCCGGTACATTTGAAAAACCTTGTTTTTCTTATTAGCTCTTCATGTGGTCTACCGCAGCTGTGGGTGACGGGCTTCCAGAATTAAAGGTATTTATCTTAAATGGCAACTCAGTGGGAAAAGGAATCAGATTAAAAAAACAAAAAATCGAAAAAAACCCACCTTCGGGACTCCTGGGTGGCTCAATCAGTTGAGCGTCTGACTTCGGCTCAGGTCATGATCTCACGGTTTGTGAGTTTGAGCCCCGCATCGGGCTCTGTGCTGACAGCTGGAGCCTGCTTTGGACTCTGTGTCTCCCCCTTTCTCTGCCTCTCTCATGATCATGCTCTGTCTCTCTCTGCCTCTCAATGGTAAATAAACGTTAAAAGAATTAAAAAAAAAATCTTCGGAGCCCAGCCACGGCTTCAAAGTGTATAAGCAGTGAAGTACTGAAGTGAATGTGTAAGCAGCTCATGGACAAGGGCCGACCATCCCACACAAATGGGTCCATCTGATAGGAAAAGGGTCAACAGCCACTAAATTTCCTTCACGACTGGGCAAGCGACTTCAGAGAAGCAAATTTTGCAAAGGAGCAGAAAAGTGGTGCAATTAAGAAGCAATTAGGTCGGCATCACGCAATGGGCTTCCTTTGTTTATTTTGGTTTATCTGGATAGCCTGATTTTAATTACTCATGAGGACACCGAATAATATACTGGTCATGTGTCTGGGCGGAAAAATGCATTCTGGAATTAATATTGTACCCCATTATGGCTCCTGACAGCTAATCCTGCTCTAATGACAAGCAGATAGATAGGCTGGTTTTGTTGTTTTTCCTTTACTTGCCTTTTCAAGATTTAGCCAAGTGTTGGGATGAAGGAAGTAAGGATGGGCAAGGTTCAGCCGTAAACAAATTACTGAAGGCTGCTGTTCCCTAGAACGCAATCCGCAGTGCTAATGAGTCAGAACTCGCATTTGGAGGAACTCGCATTACTACCCTCTGCAGTGAGGCCCACCCAACACAGCGCCGGGTGCTGAGCTAAGCGGGTTGCGCCCCGATTTACTGAGTGGGTGGACGCAGCCACGCGAAGATTAAAACTCAGGAAGCATTTTTCAAGCTCAAATCATAGTTCATGTAACCGATCCGATCATGTCCTAGTTCCCGTAACCGATCTGATCATGTCCTATTGCCGCAGTCTGCTGTTCTCTACGGGAGCCTCATTCCCTGTGAGCACCGGGAAGTCTCGAGGGGCCCTGGCAACATTTTTCAGAACCCAAAAGGGCTGCTGCACTCAAAGTATTTTATTAAAACTCCTCTATGGGTGCACAAGGCACCACGTTTTGCTAGGATTTGGTAGTCAGAAAATTTAAAAGGCATCCCATTTTTTTTTTTAAGTTTATTAATTTATTTTTGAGAGCGCAAGAGAGAGGGAGAGAGAGAGAATCCCAAGCAGGCTCCGTACTGTCCACGCAGAGCCAGACAACGGGGCTCAAACTCACAAACGGCGAAGTCATGACCTGAGTGGAAATCAAGGGTCCGACACTTAACCGACTGAGTCCCCCAGGTGCCCTGAGGGATCCCATTTTTCAAGGCAGAGGGCTAACAAGCAAGAACTGAGAAATATCTCACACCCCATGAGTTCTGAGTGGATGTGTATACGGACGTGGATGAATTAAGATCCTAACTCCTCACACTGGGCTAAGAGACATGGGGGTGGGGGGTAGGGAGTGAGGAATTTCTTTAGATAGAAACGGAATAAATCTTGCATTTAAAGAGCCCCACCCTTGCCACGCAGTCTGCACTACTCCAGAGCCAGTGAAAGAAGGGCCGATATCGAAGCTCACCAGGGGAGCTGGCTGCGGAGGGGCACTCTCATGCTTGAGCTTTCTTTGGGAAAGGAATACAAACTGCACATTATTTCTAGTCTGCAGCAGGAAGAGTGTGCGGCCAGTTGTGGCCTCCAGCTGACGCAAGCTGGAAGTGGTGTGAAGCAGAGGACCCGAGACGGGGCCCTGGGTCAGGCACCTGGACTGGAGCTCGCTGGTATCTCCGCAGATCTGCCACTTAACCCGTCTTTCTGGTAACTTTCCTGTCTGCTCAAACGGAAACTTTAAAAACTGGACACAGAGGGTTTTATGTTTTTTTAAAAATCCTTAATTCAGGTTTCAGCTTCTCCGAGACCCCCTGGCTATCAAGATCTGAACTCTGATTGGCTGAAAATGGAAAAAAAAAAAACCCCAGCCCATCTCAACCACAATGTGCTCCTGAGCCCTTCAGGGTGAAGAGGGAATTTGTCTCTGGGGCAGACTAGTCTCTGATGCAGGTGTTATATTTGGGGTTGGTCACCAACTGGATCAAAAAAACCAAATGCACTGGGAAGCTAGGGGCTCTGGGTAATAACGCAGAAGATTAATAAGGGGTGTTTTCTACACCACCCCCAGCATGCCACTGCTCAGCGTGACCCAGCTGGTCTAGTATTTCCGCAAAGGGCCTGCAGTAACCTTGGTTACTGACTGTGTCATCTGTGAAGATGACCCTCATAATCTTGCATGGTTGTTGAGAGAATCAAATAAAAACCTATGAAAAAAAAGCTTTGAGGGGCGCCTGGGTGGCTCAGTCGGTTGAGCATCCGACTTCAGCTCAGGTCATGATCTTGTGGTTTGCAGGTTCAAGCCCCACGTTGGGCTCTGTGCTGACAGCTAGCTCAGAGCCTAGAGCCTGCTTCAGATTCTGTGTCTCCCTCTTTCACTGACCCTCTCCTGCTCACACTGTCTGTCTCTCTCTCAGAAATAAGTAAAGCATTAAAAATATTAAAAAAAAAAAGCTTTGAAAAGGGGAAAGGTCACTAACTGTAGCACAGTGTAATAATAGGTGTTTGGGGGCTGTGTGTCTTCGGTGCCTGTCATCGGTGCGTGGAGGTTAGCGTGGAGTTTTCTCTAGCAGCTTGGAGTTGAGGCCGATGGGATGGGCAGGTGACAGACAAGTGCACACAATGGTCTAAGGACAGTGTGGTCACTTGGTGGGAGAAGGGCTCAGTGGATAGAATGATAGGGGGATGGAGAAGCAGGCTTTGGCAAAAGCCAGTTCCAGAACGTCTAGGAGGTGCAGAGCAAGGTCACGCTCACTGTGAGATGGGCATGATGGCCAAACGGAGGGTCATGGAAATGAAGACACACTGGGTGAATATTGTTCCATCTCCCTAAAATGCCCATTCGACTCAGATTTTTTAAAAACGTTTTATTTATTTCTGAGAGAGAGAGAGCGCATGAGCAGGGTAGGGTCAGAGACAGTGGGAGACACAGAATCTGAAGCAGGCTCCAGGCTCTGAACTGTCAGCACAGAGCCCGACGCGGGGCTCGAACCCACGAACCGCGAGATCATGACCTGAGCTGAAGACCGACTGAGCCACCCAGGCACCCCTCAACTCAGATTTTATAAGTAACTGAGCAACTCAATCAATGAGTCATTAATTTAGCAGTTAAATTAGTAATTAAGTATTATTCGATGTTAGCATAAAGACAGGTGTCTATCATGGAAGAGATGGGATATATATACCCTTTCAAAGAAACAAGCAAAGGTAAAAGCCATGTCAAGCTCACAGAGGCATTTTCTGGGCA